TTCACGATCAAGCTTGCCAATCCCAGATTTCGCAATGTCGCCACCAGCCAAACAGGATCTGGAGGTCGACCTCTTCGACGACGACGACCAAAAAAATATTTTTTGGGCTGTTTGCGACATTGAACGCGAAACTTTCACACAAGGTGCTGTTGGTCAAGCCGAGCCCATTGCTCTATTCAAAACCCCACGTTTGATTGTAAAGTTTGGAGATGCAGTCACCTTTATGTTTGTAAGCGTGATGCTATATGAAGAGTGGTCTTTGTTCATTGTCAAGCAGGTGGACCCTGGCAGAGCAAAAGATGCAGAGGGACCTCTTTGTGTAACTCAGCTACTTTGCATGACTGCAAGGATGGAAGGATGATATTGCATACTATTGACAATAGCCCATACATTGGCAGCTAATAGCCACTTTTGTGCGTTCCGAACTTTTGTGCATTCCATCATAATGGAACGATGCTCCTCCTCCAGACATTCATTTCCTTGATCCAATTATCTTGATCCGAGCTGATTTGGCTGAGCTACGGTCAAAGAGAGATTACATCAATCCATACATCAGCATACGTTCGAATGTCTCAGCTGATTAATCCTTGTTCGACCGTAACTCAACCAAATCAGCTCGGATCAAGCTACTTGAATCATGGAAATGAATGTCTGGAGCAGGAGCATCATTCCCATCACGTGGATTTCGCAACAATGCTGATTGGATAAAAGTGGCTATTAGCTGCCAATGTATGACATGAAAATGAGGGTTGCGTACCTCTCATGCATTGTCCCTGAAGTCCTGACTTTTTAGCTGAGTTACCCAAAGAGGACCTTCTGCATCTTTGGCTCTCCATGGTCTAGCTACTTGGCAATGAACAAAGACCACTCTTCATATAGCATCACGCTTACAAACATAAAGGTGCCTGTATCTCCAAACTTTACAATCAAACATGGGGTTTTTATTAGAGCAATGTGTTCGGCTTGGCCAACAGCACCTTGTGTGAAAGTTTCACGATCAAGCTTGCCAATCCCAGATTTCGCAATGTCGCTACCAGCCAAACTGGATCTGGGGGTCGACCTCTTCGTTATATGGAGGCTTGTTTAGCCTCGGTTTTTATTGGGAGTATGTCTGAGAGTGATACCCCAAAGACGTTACAAGGATGAAGAAATGTTATAGGAAGGAAAGGAGATGACTTTAGACTTATGTTGGATCATTGTTCCCCTTTGACAGGGAACTCACCGAGGAAAGAGTAGTTGGTGTGGACGAAGACAAAGATTTACCTTGATCTTTCAAAGTGTGACAAAGACGTTCAAGTTCAGGAATCGATAAGGAGGCAATAATGGTCTTAGCGTGGTCGGACATAGGATAACGCTTTTCAACGTGCTGTACCATGGCGTCTCGATCAGGGGAAGGAGGCTGAGGTTTGAGATCAATCTGGTCATCGGGGATAAAGTCACTAATAATGGCATCATTGTGGCTTTCAAAAGGCGAAGGATCAACGCTGAGCATGGAGATATCTGAATTTGAGCTATTGACTGAATACGATGAAGGCGATGATGGTGTAGGTGGGTTATAAGTATCAGGTGTAGGCTTGACTTGACGGTTGGTACATTGGGCTGCTCGGTGACCTGGTTGGCCACAGGTCCAACAAAGACGGCTACGGCTAGGATGGCGGGGACAAGCAGAGGTCGCATGACCAGCTGTGTGACAACGAAGGCAGTGTAGCGGCATTTCAGCCCAAGTGGCGTGGAACGAATCATCTGATGTAAGCCAAGGGATAGTGTGGGAAAGCTGCTTGTACTTGTAGTTGGCTGGGATTTTCAAGGTAGCGTAACCTCGTCCCATGAAGAGGTTTGATGCATGATCACGGAAGATGCCATAGTCACTAAGGCTACCATAAGGTGCCAGGGATTTGCGAAGACCAAGTCTTAATTTGTCTAGTGTAGTGAATGGAAGATCGGAGAGTTGAAGATGCACTAAACGGGTATCAGCGGAAATGGGCTTTGAGGCAAGAATACATTCACCATCATCAAAGGTGATGCCTGTTACAGATGTCTCTTCACACTGCTTGGATGTGGGAAGGAAGAGCTCAACAATGCGGCGTGATTGATCAGAATGAAGACGTACACCACAATTGTCTGGATAGCATTCGTTGATATAGCAAAGTAGAGCAGCGCGGTTTTCGGGGCGAGACGTGAAGTCGAAAAACATGCTAGGACAAGAAGCTGGGGAACCACCAACCTTCCATACTCTGGAACGGATGGTATTGTCAGTATCTTTTGATATCAGAGACTCCTTTATAGGAGGATGAGCACGCGTAGCATGAGCATAAGATGGGTGACGTTGTTGACTGTTTTGGGTGCCTGATGCCTTATCAGGCGATTTGATAAAATTCGCGGAAGACATGGGGGTCGACCTCTTCGACGACGACGACCAAAAAATATTTTTTGGGCTGTTTGCGACATTGAACGCGGAACTTTCACACAAGGTGCTGTTGGCCAAGCCGAGCCCATTGCTCTATTCAAAACCCCACGTTTCATTGCAAAGTTTGGAGATGCAGGCGCCTTTATGTTTTACCTATGCTGTAAGCGTGATGGAGTAGCTTTTTCCTAGTGGATGGTGTCGGCTGCATTAACGGAAAGATGAAGAGCTGAGTGAAACCGCACGTGGTGGTTACACAGACACCTCCTTGACAGGTTGCTACAAAAATGGATGATGATGATGATTGCCTTTTGTGAAGGTACGTAAGTAAACAGCATCCAATAATGAAGGCGTGTGAAGGTATGCATCACATTTGCATGTAGAAGAAAGTCGAGCTGCATAAACCAATTTGTATATGTAAAAAGATACATATACATATTGAATGAGTCACTCAACCTGAAACTGAATGGAGGGATCTCTTCACTTTTTCTCTTCTCAAGCTCATCCCACTTCCCACTCCTCCTTATTGTATCACAAAAGCCATGTACTTTTTAACCGGACCACCTTTATTATTCCATCTTCGAAGCAATAGTATGTAATCCACAAGCTAGCAACCTCCAACAAGCGTGTAATAAATAAACAATGCTTTATTTCATCTAGCTATCTTGCTATGTACTGTACATTGCCACCACCATCCTCGTAGTCGTCCTCCGTCATCATTCCTACTCGTACTCGTCACCAGTCCTCAATCTCATCCGTTACACCAAGCATCCAAAAATACACAAGTTGAAAAGAATGGGATCTTGCAGGCTTCCTGTTGAATCTCGTTGTCGTCATCATTGTCATTGTTGTGAATGTGGTAATCATCGTAATTGCCGTCTCTACAAATAAGAAAGCAGGCAAGTTAGACCATCTGATACCGGGAATGATGACGATTTGGTATACCGTTAGGTGATCCTCTCCAAGGAAGAAAGCAAATCCGAAGGAATTTACAAACCAAATCACCACCATACGAGCAACGTCGGGCGATCCCTTGTTCTTGAGAAAACACTGCACGAATCACACAAGGCCAGTTCGATCCATGGCAAGGAAGGACATCACTTAAGCCCAGGCTCATAGTTGTCCTCATTCATCCTCTCCAAAGAAAGAATGATCCCAATCCTTCCAATCGTTTCCCACCTCATGAAAAGAAATCCTCAAGGGAAAGGAACGAGCCTATCACGAGAAGAGCGTGTTGGTTCAACACATTCACGACCGAGCTATTGCAAATCCCCTTTTACCCCAACACGATGACCATGTTCTTCCAAAACCATCAACTCAACGCAGGCCTCTAGAGCCTTGGACGCGTTCCATGAAGCTTTTCCATCACACTTGGCTAGTGCACAGCGACGCAGCGGCCACTTGATACAGGCTGGGACTTGAACCCAAAGAGATGATGATGTTGATGCCCCCAAGTTGCATTGCCTGACCAAAGAAACCTATTCAATTCATTATTAGCACACACGCACAATAAACACCCTTTTCATTGTTTGTTTCGTTGCACTTGCCTTTTCCCTATACACAAGAACCCCTTTGTTGTTGGTTACTGGACACCGAAAAACCATGGTGTAGTGTTGTTGAGCCGAAACAAAACGCCAAACCAGCCAACGTCTTGACACCCAACTTGTCCTCTTCTATACAAGCTAACACGTCAATGGAACCAGTTCGGCTGCAACATTGAACTCTGAATGTACCTGTTGACACCAAGCGTAGAGCGGGAGTAGCAACGAACAAGAGGAAGCAACGATATCGCCATGGCAACCACCAACCACCAACCACCAACCACGCTCATTCCTCAGCACTTGGACATGCCCACTCCCTGACAATGCATATTCAAAACAATGTGAATGCCTCACAGCCAACAAGAGCACTCTTTTATAATACATTACCTTGATCGGGATGTCGTGAATGGGATAAAAGCAGAGGAGAGAGAAAGAATAGAGAAGCGTGTGGAGCTGCAGTTCCCCATTTTGATTTCCATAGTGAGGAGCCGTCGACAAGTTAAATTCTTACACCGGGTGCCAAGTTAAATCCCTCGCTGGAATTGCACTGAATCCATTCACTCATTCCGTAAAACAAATACCATTCACAATACCACCATCTCATGATAGATAATGCTACATGTAAATAAATCATCCTTATGTATGGCAAAAGCGTGTCCTTTCACATTGTATAATCCAATAACAACAACCGTTGCCTTAGTACTGGTCCCAAGCGTACCTTTTTCTTTCATTCAGCAAACCACTTGAGCTATCCCAATACAGTATTGCACAATCAGACATGGTTTGGTTAGTATACCTGAAATGGTCAACGTATCTAAAGTATGATTGCTAAAATATCGTGCAATGGAGATCAGGAAAAGGTATATCGTAAACCCATCGAGTTTACATAGGAGGGCAATTAACATCTACCTCACGACGAGAGATATTGTTTCAGTTGTTTTTATCTAATAGTCGAGTAATTTTTTGTACAATTGAATGAAAAGGGAAAGCTACATCATATACATACATAGGAGAGGTGTATTACTCCTGAGATTGTAGAAGGATATGGTGGGCTATCAATGCGCATGAGATGGTTCATGATGATGATGCTCCATTTTGTGTTTTTCCTTGACATCATCTAGAAGGTTTTCACGGTGTTGCGAAATGCGATCGGACAAAAAGTGGTTGGCATCTCGATGCAGCGCTTCATCGGCACGCACAGCTAATACCACATCACGGATGGTGGCAGTTGGCTGAAGGTTGTAGTATTCTATAATCGTTTTGTTAATAGCCATGCTTGGACAACGGTGAGACGATGTCAAAACTTACCAATGGCAATTTCGGGTGCTCTTGAATTACCCAACTCGCCCTTGTCAATAGCATTAAGGAAATGAGTGTATGAGACTACAGCCTAGAAAATAGACATTATTGCGTCAGATCTACGTCAATGCATTCATCGTATAAACGTTTACCTCTTCCTCCAAATAACCGCACATGCGATGAGCTGTCTTGGGAGAAAAGACATACAACCAAAAGTAGCTGTTGAAAAAGACACCTTGGGCACCCAATACGAGTAGACGATTGAAAAGGCTGGGTTGAAGGCACTTCATCCATGTCATCAAATGCATACGCTCATTCTCAGCTTCATGCAGCAAATGAATAATCCATCCATTGTCATCGGCCATGTTTCGCAATGAGCGCATGTGCCGTAACATAGCTCCTACCATACCAGGCACTATAGAGAGGTGAGTGTTAGATCAGATCAAGAATTTGATGATGCGATCATTACCTGCAGCAATGGTTTCGAGCATAACAGCACGCATGTAATAATCATTTCGGAAGTATGTATCAGGAAGCAAACGCAAAGTCTTGACGAGGCGATAGGCAAAACGATCACTCATGGTATTAGGCTTGTAGTGTTTGTCAAGACCAATGTCTAGGTTCTCCAACTCTTGCGTGGTGAGCTTCTTATCCCCCATGAATTCTTCACGCATTGGGAGAGGGTGGGTTGATTGGATTTCACGAAGGACGTCCTTTGGAATGTCATCAGCGGGTGTTGACATGGGTGTCGGCTTGCTAGGTTGATAAAAACGTTGTTGATGTCGCAAGCCAATGGCACCGGTTGCGAAAAGGGATGGGTGAGCATTCTTGATAAATGCACGGGTGGTGGCTGTTGTTGCAACTTTGAGCATGATTGTGTATCAGATCAAAGGAAAGGATCAAAAGAGAGAGAAATAGAAGAGAGGATTGTAGATGTGGTTGTATGAATAAGGTAATTGCTGAACCCATGTGCATGAATTTATATGATCAGTGGGTCGAGAGGCATTGCTGGGTTTTGCCAGACATCGGGGCGGGTGCCTCCATTTTCCGGCTCAACAATGAGTCAATTCGTAGAATGACGTGTGCCACGTGGCTCGTGTCAGCCAACCTCTGATTTTTGCTACAAAATCCATTTCCGTCGCTTGCCGAGATCGGCACAAAGGATGATGTATCATTGCCCATTGGTTCATTGCAGCTGTATGACACCTCTCTAAAGGCGTAAGGTTATCCCACAGGATTCTTTCCATCGGATCTTTCCTCCAGCCGTGTGGATCAGCATTACCTTGCTACAAGGCACGCATGATTGAGAACCATTACTTTGGTTCATTATAGATATATACCGATGCTCAGTCAACAAACAAGTGTTCCGCGGGTTCTTTTTTGCTTTATGACGCATTCGCATCTTTTAAAGTGTGCACATGCATAATAATGTTGCTAGTGTCATATGTCAAAGAATGATACAAGCAAAGTGAAGATCAGCTGATGTATGTATACAACAGCGAATACATACGAATGGTTTGCCAAGCACACCATTACGTATGCCTCCTCCTATTGCTGAGCATCATTTAGCCCGTCCACCTTACTCCCAGCTGATGATGTGGTATATATAGCCGCACCATCATCGTTCTAAATGTCTTCTTTGAGAATGCTTGTACTGCTTTTATTTGTGCGGCGTGCTGTTGCTGAGTACAGTAATGCCGCTTTTTGAGGGACTTTTGCCAAATGAAGATAAAGAGGCAAAAAGATATGGGTCCATGCAAATGAGCAGCAAAAAGAGGACCCTATGAAAATGACGCAACTTCTTTCTTTTGTTTCCTTTTGCTCATACTACTATTACCCCCGCATCAACCAACAGCCATCCATCATGATTGTCATTAACGGCAACAAATACTCTTGCAAAAGTATGTATACTAATGATGCTAGGATACTGATATCCAAAAACATGTTCTAACACTTTCTAGGCTGCATTAGGGTACATCTTCTCTTTTAACTATTATAGTCTTTTATGCTGTGGGTGTACTAAATGTATATACATGGATAGGGACATCGATCCTCACGGTGCCATCATACTGATCGATTGCTTGTACAAGTACGAAAAAAGGGACGACCCATCACGCAATGTGAACGATGCCGTGAACAACGAGAGAAGCATAGCATCCATCAGAAATGCAGCTGTAAAAAAGGTGATTATGAAGGATCATGGGGACACACGAGGCATTAAACTAATGTAATTCACATTACAGGCAAGCATGTCATGAAAATCGAGCACTTGCTCCTCTAGCATAAATCGCTCAAATGCATACCCAAATGTCCCATCCCGGTTTTAAGATTGGCCCTTTACATACACATGCAGGATAAAAGATCATCAGCAGCAGAGTGAGGTTTACATTCCCTCCTTTTTTTGGGGGTCTTTATCATGTTATCATAATGAAATCCCATCCCCTTTAATGATTTAAAATGAGACAATGTTGTCATTATGTATGTTGTGGACTTCTCGCATAGATAAAGTAGTGTCTGGGGTGGAGTGGACTTGCAGTTACGCACCCAGGAAATTCACAATGAGAACAATGTCAGCCAACCAGAATCATTCAGTCATCAACCACGATAATACACATACCTGGCTCTTGATCGCAGAGACACTTTCCCGTAGGATGGTCATCCACTGATTTAGCCCCTACACAGTTGCCTGCACTGGATCCTTGGCCTTCACCACCTCCCCAAATACAAACAAGTGTGGTCCTCGGAACTCGCCCCAGCCGGCATTCCCCAAACTAGAGTGGTGATCCTCCAGCCAAAGGAGAGGTAAAGAAAGCTCTTTCACAATCGAGCAATCATAGATGGCCACCTACGGTAAAACTCATGGGATAGGTATTCCTGCTGGATTTGATATTAGTTAGCAACAAGGAAGGATGTACAAGGCGCATGTATTCTTTACTTATCTTAAGATAACTCGTCGTCGAGAACAATGATATCCTTGAAGAATAGACCAGGCATTTGAATACGTTAGCATTGTCACCAATATGTTTGACCATGTGTTTGATTGAATACCTTTTGGTGCGAGATTGGCATATCTTGGAATGGAATGGAAGATGGAAAAACTTGTTGATGGTTATTCAAAGCGGATGGGAGCTGGCTTGTGTGTAAGAATGACAAGGCCAAATGATTGCTGCGGATCAACGTAAAGGATGATGACACCAGATGAGATCTTGCTGTAGCCACTAATAAGGGATGAAACATTGTTTATCATCTTGAAAGGTAAGTTGAAAAGGGAGGTGCTCTGTACTTACCTTGTCACCATATAATAACGGGATATCCTTCAAAGCAAGCTGATAATTTGAAGACACTACGAGCATGAGTGAGTGCCATCGTCAATGTTTATAATGATGCATTTGTACAAATACCTTTTGACACATTTGACATTGCACAACTTGAAGAGGGAAGAGAAGGAAACTTGCTGCAGGTCATTCAAGGACGGGAACTCGCTTGTGTGCTGCGGAACAAAATGAAGGAGCGAAAACACCACATGATGACACGTTGAACCCACAGGATTGGATCTTGCTTCAGGCAATGCTAAGTAATGCAACATTGGTCACCATCATGAAAGGGGGATTTGTTCTTTGCTTACCTTCATATCACACAAACGCGTGCAATAAGTGATAGCCATAAAGAGGAAGTAAGCCATCTGAAAGAATAGTAAGCATTGTCATCAATATGCATAATCATGGGTTTGGATGAATACCTATTGGGTGCTTTGGCACGACATACCTTGAAGAGTGAAGAGAAGGAATCTTGCTGTTGGCCATTCAAGATGGATCAAGGCTCGCTTGTGTATAAGAATGGAGAAGCCGATCGACTGCTGTGAATTAGCAAGAAGAGGGATGAGGATCAGGCCATAAACACGCGTCAATACTTTTCAAACGTACTATGCTGGACTTTGACAACAATAAAAAGGGCACTATAACATCCACAGGAAGAGGACATGTTGCAGAAGTAGGGAGAGAAAGCAATGGTCGATTGTGGAAGGGGAAGAAAGAGTAGTGAAACAATGAAATAGGCCAGCGTTCGCACTCAAGTACATGCGAGGACTGGCATGAAAATTAAGGTCCGCTGATGTATGCAAGTTGTCCTCGTTTACATAGGATAAAAATGGGATGCGCATCCCAGGGACATTCCATGGCAAGATAATGATAGACACCTCCAAATACCTGCTAAAGCCGATGTCGAAAACAATGATTTGCAAGCTACCGAAATCATTGACTTGGCTGCTGGTGAAATCTACTTGTTAAATGCCGTATTGCATTGACTTGATAGGTTGACTTGGTGCTTCTTTTCTCTTATGAAGGCTACATCGCTTTGTTAAATCCGAAATCACTTTTCAAGTGAATTCCCTGGGTGGTTAAGGGCATCTGTGGAGTGGGATGAATGTGAGCCATTGATTTCCTTGACCCCGCCGCCAATGTCTGTATTTTTTGTTTTCCTTTCCCTCTTTCCGTTCCTCAGGCAAACACACGCATACCTTCCCCACTCACGGTGCACACTATAGACACACGTATACGCTTCGCGGGTTGTCTTTGAGTATACACAATGCTGCCAGCCTTGCGCATTCAACTGTGCAGAGTCGTCATTCGCCCAGCTCCTCGGCCAGTCGCCAAGATCCAACAATGTCAATTCCACATTGCGCGCCCTATCTCTCATTCTCTGCGATGCAGGTCCATGGTGGGGTAAGATACAGTTGCTTGGGCATTAGGATATGTGTACATGTCCCTGACACCTTGTTCGTTTGTATGTGTGTGCCTATTGACAGGAAGACCTGGCGTCGATGGCTCGTTACTAGCAACAACAACAACAATGACCATAATAATAATACGCCCGAAAATGATGCCAATGCGACGACCAAATTGAAGCAAAAAGCAGAGAATGCAAAGATTGTCATCAACAAGGTTTGTACTTCAAGGTTGGATTGAATGGGTCCGCTTATTGACACTTGTTTTGACAGCTCAAAGAGAACATCCCAACGCATGAAAACATTTACACCATCCCAAACTTTTTGACATTCTCAAGAATCGTATCGGCTCCCTTTATTGGTTATCTTATCATGCAACACGACTACCAGCTGGCATTGGGTGTGTTTGCATTGGCTGGTATCACGGATATGGTAAGGATTTGTATATGGATGTGTATGTGTGAGAGTGTATGTACAACCCCCATCTCACGCATGATCATTTTGTATATGTAGCTGGATGGTTACATTGCTCGAAAGTACAAGCTCAAGACTGTGGTTGGCAGTATTATTGATCCAGCAGCCGACAAGGCTCTCATGACAGTGATGACAGTGACGCTGGCAGCACAACATGTAATACCAAGTAAGTGATAGGAAAGGATGCAGGGAAAGTGTACGCTAATGACACACATGCATATGTGTAGTACCCCTTGCAGCTTTAATCCTTGGCAGAGATGCGGGTTTGGTCCTTGCAGCATTCTATTATCGGTACATTTCGTTACCAGAGCCGGTAAGTATAATCACGATATGGATACCACAACAAGGCGCAGTATGACGGAGGGCTGATTTTGTTGCTATATAGAAAACGCTGTTCCGTTATTTTGATTTTTCTATTCCATCTGCTGAAGTACGACCCACTATGATTAGCAAGGTGAATACAGCATTACAGTTGGCATTGATGGCAGCGTCCTTGACATCCACTGCTTTGGGAGTACCATCAACTGAGATTATGACAGCGCTACAGTGAGTGTTATCTTTATTCAGCAAAAGGAGAAATGAGCGCGTTAATTAACGGAGCGTAACCCTTAGGTGGACAGTGGGTGGCACAACCGTATGGTCGGGAGCCAGTTATATCTATTCAAAGGATGCTGTACGAATCTTGAGCCGCCAAAAGTGACACAACAATAGAAAAAAAAGATTGTGAAAGTCATTCTCATCCATTTCATTCGCTTTTCCTCTTTTCTTCTCCTTTCCGAGTAAAATAATAAATTCATTCCTTTCATTTCCTCGTTGTCTTGCCTTGGTATCCAGGTCGTTGGACATACACACACATATATACTCTCTTTTATATACCATTTCCTTTTATTCATTCATTCTTTTAATCTATTTCCCCCTCTTGTCCAATCATTATGGCAAAACTCAACTACAACACACAAACTGGTAGGTCAAAGTCAATCCACCAAAACAGCATTGTGGGCTCACTCATGGCATCATCAACATGATTATTATAGTATTACGCGTTCGACCAACCTTGGACAAGACGACTTCAGACGATATCACCACCCTTGCCAAATCATATGCTTTCGATCGGGTGTTCGGTAGTAACAGCACCCAGGATCAACTATTTCGAGGCGTTGCATCTAATCTTGTTGACAAGCTTATCCAAGGTGAGTTGTTTGGTGCCAATCATATGCAAGCAGGAATGTCATGTGTGCATCGATTGCTAATCATGCTGCATATCTTCGCGCGCATGTCTGTGTACAATAATAGGTCGCAATGCAACGCTGTTGGTCTATGTAAGCTTCGACACACAAGAACAATTAGCGATGGTTACATTTTGCTAAGACGTGTTGTTACACAGGGCCATCCTTTATCAGGCAAAACGTATACCTTAGGATCTGGCGTGATGGAAGAACAAGGAGGAAACGCCAATCCAGAGAGCGAAGGTACATAAGATGATTATAGCTTTATTCTTAATTTTCAATCTAACCAACTTGGATCCACATGCAGGTCTTATCCCACGAGCCACCGATGCTTTGTTTGATCGAGTACACCGAAACCATCATGGTGCACCACGTCCATCATCCAGCTTTTCGTCATCCATTCGATCCTCTTCACCTTCACGACTACGACCCGTTTCAGTGGCAGGCTTGCCAACTGCACGCCGTGGATCAACGCCAAATCTCTCTAGCAAATCCCCACGATATACCATTCGTATCACATTCACTCGTTTTGATCATGGTGGCAACAATGTCAGGTTATTAAATGACGACGAATCCACAATCAGGAATACAGGAGATGTGCTCAGGTAGAGTATTGTTTGTTGTCGATGGCATTTGTTTTGTGTGATACTAATACCATTTGTTGTCATGGATCAGGAACCTTGATGTGGCAGCAGCACGCGCCAGCGAGTCGTCATCATGGTCACATGCTATATTTACGATTCATTTACGACAAGAAAAGTGGACCCAGAAACCACCTGCCACTGTTGAAAAGAAGGAATCGGTTCTTTCATCCTCAAAGCGACGTATTAGCACGCTCAACGTCAAGGCTATGGTGGGACAAATGGAGAAACATGCACGACATGATGACGACAATGGTGAATGGGTGACTACAGAATCGCAGCTCAGCTTTGTTGAAATGGGATCAGCTGTGGATGATACCTATCGCATTGTTTCTTGTCTTGATGATCTCACTACTGTTATTGCTTGTGTTGATGCAACAATGTACCCACGTGCTATGATTGAGCAACAATTGAAACACGCCAACCGATGGTCTCATATTCCTATCGAACAATGGATTCATGAGTGGATTGAAATGCCTACCATATCGCCATCTACAAGCACAAGCATGTCCGATACATCTGATGATGATGGTCATTGTCGCTCATCATCCTCGGCAAGGACAACAATTACCATCCCTGAAGTGGCTGACTTGGAGCGGCAAATCGAGGAGTTGCAAAATCAAGTGACAGTGACACAAGAACGCAACAAACATGTGGAGCAAGAATTGTTGCATAAACATGCATTGTCAACTGAACGTGAACAAGCTGTCAGCATGTACATGGCTTCCCTCGAACGTAGGATCAACGCTCTTTTGAATGATACCGAAAGCACCAATACTCCGCATCATCAGCTGGTTGCTATCGATCGCATGTTCCAGCAGCTACGTACTTGTATCGTCTCTAATGATATACCGCCACCACCACCTGCTGTTGTTGATACTACAAAGGAGGAATCTTTACAACGTAAAATTGATTCACTTGAGCAACAATTGAGCGAGACAAAGCAAGAGCACCAAACTGCCGTGGATCAATTGACAACATCCATGGAGGAAAAGGTTGCCAGCCAAGAAAAAATGCTTCAAGAGCGACACGCTGCACAACTTGATGAGATCATGCAACAACACAATGCCTTTTCAGAATCTGTGCATATAAACATCAATCAGCGTTTGACCGAAAATGGCCATTTGCAACAACAACTCGATCAATTGTTGACGGTAGAGCAGACTCAAGATACATTGATTGATCGATTGATGACTCAAGCTACTCAACATGCACAAGTTGTGGACGTACTGAAACAACAATTGGCAACCAATGAGGAATCTATGAGCTTACTACGACATGAGAATCAAGAAAAAGCTCGTTTATTGGATGAGGCTCAGTCAACCATCGATGGTCTTATGCGTGAAATTGCTGCTCTTGGCAAAGAAAAGCATGAGCTTGATATGCTTGTCAAGTATGTGGATTCCAGCATTAATCATCAAAACGTTCGTGTTGTCAAGGTTGATGAGCAATTGGTGGATTTGCAGCACGTGCACTCGCATGAGATCAAGACGCTTAAGGAAGAAAAGCTTGCATTGGAACAACAAGTCGAGCAATTGAAGAAGCAATTGATCGAGCAGCAGCAGCAGCAGCAGCAGCAAGAGAAGAACAAGGAATCAGAGCAACCACATGGTGAAGAAGAAGAAGAAGAAGAAGTCGATGATGATGACGCTGAAGGCGATATCCGCAATATTATTCTTGGTCTCGAAGCTCGTTTGCAAACTCTACAACAAACAAAGCGTCAAGATGAGGATGAATTTGATGTACGATTCGAGCGTGCTATTGAGGATTTGGAGCATACCCGAAAGCAGAATAAGGATCAAGCCAAAACAATCGCCTCTCTCGAACAAGCATTAGAATCAGCCACCACTGAGCAGCAGCGTTTGATGGATAAGGTGGCTCAACTTGCTCAAGAGAATACACAACTCACGTCACAAATGACCACAGACCTTGAGAGCAAACGTAGTAGCGACAACAGCAATGGCAACAATAATAGCACGTCTCCTCGTGTATCACTCATGTCAACCGCTTCGCTTCCTCCACCCACTGCACCACCATCCAATCCATTGCCACCTATTCCTACAGCGTTACCAGCTATTCCAGCAGCATCTTCTTCATCCTCACCTCCATCTTCGCCTATTTCTCGTCCACAATCTCCTACTCGCATTCCATCTTCACCACCTGTGCGTACTTTGTTACAGCGTCAGAATTCAGGCACCACTACTAGTATCAGTGAATTGTTGGATGAAAGCAATCCTGCAGGCTCAGCATCCACTGCAGAGCGCTATGAACGCATTATTCAATCATTACGTCACAAGATGCATTCAGCAGAACAAGATATCAAGGCCCATCAAGATGTTATTGGCAAGTTGGAATGCCAATTGTCAAGATCGGAGCACACGGTGCGTGAAGTAAAACGGCAATTGGATGTCTTGTCACGTGAAAAACAAGCTTCTCATCTCGAGATCCAAAACTTGAGGAGCCAAGTTAGTGCACAATCGGATGCTGCTAAAACGGCAGAGGATATTCAATCACTGGAGGATGCATTGGAAAAAGAACGTCAACTCAAAGAAAAAGCTGAAAAGGCACGACACATTCTTGAACACCGCATGGAAGAGTTGATGAGCAAAAAGAGTAAATTCATGTGCTTCTAATTGACATTTACTCCCTTCTCTCCCCCATCTCTATAAAATCCCTTCCCCAAAAATGATATCCTCCATTCCCTTTTCTTTGTTTTTGTACATTAGCTTCATTGTGAAATGACCTTCTTCAATAATATTATGCAACTTTATTGTAACAGTAAGACAATGGACCACCATGTGCGTGTCTACCCATATTGGGTATTGGTTGAGATGGATGGTAGACTTGCAATAAAAGATCATCGAGGAGGATCATTATGCGGGATATGCAAATGTCCAAATGCAGTAACCTGCTGGAGTTCAACGGCAGCCACTGCTGCAAATTTTCTAGAGCTCTCTTTTAATTCTTATCCTTTCCACTTCTCCCAACTTGCCCCACCATGGCCGAGACAGCTGATTCCAAGCCCTCCAACAAACGATTCCGTAAAGACAAACGTAAGCATAGAGCAAATCGCTGCATTGGACGATCGAGGTGACTCACTTGTTGAAATAGCCTGGGATACCGATGATATCGATCACTGGAAGATTGACGAGTTTAAGCCGGAAGACATCAAAGGCCCATTTGCCGAAGAATCCTCGTTTGCCACACTCTTTCCTAAATATCGTGAAAAGTATCTACGAGAAGTATGGCCTATGGTGACAAAAGCTCTCGAGAAACATGTAAGGATAGCCACCACCTATTTCATGCTGAACGGGCTCGCTGAACGTTGTATAACAGGGCATTTCATGTGTGCTCGATCTTGTGGAAGGTTGTATGACTGTCAAGACTACTCGTAAAACCTACGATCCCTATGCTATCCTCAAAGCTCGTGACATGATCAAATTGCTTGCAAGAAGTGTACCCTTCCCACAGGTAATGTATCTAGGCAACCGTGTATCCATGACGACCAAAATACTTATTGCTCCATGTGTAGGCTGTCAAGATTTTGGAGGATGGTGTTGCATGTGACATTATCAAGATTGGCAACATTACACGTAACAAGGAACGCTTTGTCAAGCGTCGACAGCGATTAATCGGTCCTAATGGCAACACACTCAGGGTAATGTTAAAAGAGGAATGGGGGTATTTGGATACATTCAAAGCTAACGATGATCCATTTGTTAGGCTATTGAATTATTGACAAAATGCTACATGATGGTGCAAGGCAATACAGTATCAGCTATGGGTCCTTATCAGGGTCTTAAAGAACTTCGACGGATTGTGCTGGATTGTATGAAGAATGTCCATCCAATTTACCACATCAAGGTAAGGGAGATTGCTGGTGAAATGAGATCATGTCAGCTGATAAAGGATGATGGATATAGGAACTCATGATTAAACGTGAGCTGGCCAAGGATCCCAAGCTGCAAAATGAGAACTGGGACCGGTTCCTGCCTCAATTCAAGAAACGCAATGTCAAGAAACCCAAAAAGACTGTACCAAAGAAACCCAAGAAGGAGTACACACCATTCCCACCCGCACAACAGCCATCAAAGATCGATTTGCAATTGGAAAGTGGCGAGTACTTTGTCAAAGACGTGGAGCAAAAGAGAAAGAAGCGAAAGACCCAATAAGCATTATTATATTAAGCATCATCATAATAAACATTGTCGCATGCATCAACATAAAAAAAGACAATGAATGACATTTGTTAAGCAATAAGAACGACTAAGTTTAATAGACTACGAATTAGGTTGGTAAGAGAGAAGTGGAGAAGATTACAATGAGTAAATAAGGAGGAGGGGAGGATAAAGAAATAGAGATGATAAGATTAAGCACCACGCACCATGTGAGTATGAGTGTGAGCTCGTCCAGGTAAAGCACCACCAGCACCACCAATGGCACCTGCCCCGCTGACGCCTGACAAATGACTTGTATTGTCGAATCCGTCATCCAAGGACGATGTACAAGTGGCCAACTTTTGTAATGCAGGTGGCTGTTCCCCCTTCTTGGCACGTCGCATAGCAATACTGAGAGCATTCAGCCATGATTCGAGTTCACCTTCGCTACTTGCACAGACAACGTAGCTACGTTTGTGGATGATAATTTTGAAACAGAATCGCTTGTTTTTGCTGATGGGTTCGATTTCGAGAGCGTCAATGATGTGTGTTAATGGGATGATGCGATGGGGTGCATATTCCTATTTCGTTCACAATGAATACAATTGGTCATTGAGGATTGGGTAGATGCATCATACCTTGTCATCTTCGTAATAGGAAAGTGTATCGGTCCGTAACACAAACCATCGCTTACGCCAACCCTAATAACCGATGAATTATCTCATTAGTGCCAAGACTCAACATTGTAAGGATTGCTGCTGCTTACTTTGTTCCTGCCCAACTTGAGTAAATATCCTTCCATAAGCACTCGATTCCTTGTCTCCTCGTGATGGACATTAGTCATCTCATCCCTCCAACCGTATTCTTCATCATCTTCAGAGCTTGCCAAGCCTTCTGTGGCGAAGCTATGCGCTTGGTGATCGGAAATGGGAGAAAGTGGATAAGTACGGCTTGGTGAGTAGGCTGATAAGTCGTGATGGTGATAATTGATTGCTTTGGGAATATCAACAGGTGCTACATGTGGAGGAGGTTGTTGTTTAGATAAGCGTCTGGTGGTGGTGGTAGTAGTAGTAGAGGTGGGTAATGATGATGATAGTGGTGGATGTGGTAGTGGTGGAGGATGATCGATTGATGATGATGCTGTATTGCCTTGTGAGGATCGACGACGTTGGTGTGAGAATGGTTGGTCCACAAGGGAACTTGTGGCATCGTCATTATCGGGATCCAAGGCCATGTGTTCCATTTTTGTCCTCTCGAGTGTCGTGATCCAGTCATCCATTTCTTGCTGCGTGTCAGCTTGGAGATAAAACATTCGCTTGGGTGTGCTGATAGCGAACATGTATTTGTATTTGTTGTTGGTGACATGGACGACGCTGTGAATCTCTTGTAGATCAATGATACGCAATAATTTGTATTCCTAATGAGGGGTTGATGGGATTGTCAGGTGATGTTTTTTCAACACTGCCAAAACTTTTACCTTGCTGTCCTTGTACATGGCAAGCTTCGTTGTCCTCAACACAAACCATCGTCGTTTCCATGTCTACAAGAACACCAAAATTAATAAACTTCAAAAGGATGTAAACAGCCATTTGAGTTAATTTACTCTTCTCTTCTCGCCCTTCTTGAGCAAATATCCAGATTTCACGGCCTTTTCAGTTTGAAGTAGCTCCAATGCTTGTCCAGATATCGGTAACGCTGGAGGATCATCCTCGTCAGAGAAATATTGATTGGGGTGTTGCTGGTAGTCAAAGTCGTCTTCTTCGTCTTCGCTTAGAGCGATGCGGGTCACTTTTCCTTGTGAATGGCTCTCAGATGGTCCCGATCGTGAAATGGACTGCATTACAGCCAATGTGTGAGTACAATTAGGCAAGGCTATGAGTAAAAGACACGTACAGGGTTTCGAAGTATTGATACTGGCTCTTGTTTTTGTAGTGCCATTGTGAGCTGAATAACATAAATATACAAAAGAAGGTTTTTGTGGGTAGGTGAATTGCTCCTTTTATACTGGATGTGGATCTGGGCTTCAAACGAATGGGCTCACGCATTATCGCAACTCATGCTTGGCTCTGTCTTGCTTTTACAAGGAGAAACAAGAAGGAATCCCCTCGCTTTTTCCTTTTATGTAAGTTGATAACTCTCTTAACATTTGATTGTTCATATTGCTCATGCCATCGTCTTCCTTCTTGTTCATTCTAGTCACCTCTATTGCCTAAGCAGCAGCATGCTGTGCCGACGATAATGGTTCATCCGCTTTTGTTCATTGGTAACACCATCCAAAGGATCTGCATCAGCAACTACAAACCCCGCCCGAAACCGCGGAACATGATTGTGGGGCACTCACTGAAAATGGATACAAGCATTTGCATGGTTTGTTGTGCTATCCTGAACGCGTGACATGTGTGAGCTCATGCATATCTTTCTTTTTCGTGGGAAGCATTTCTCTCTTTTTTCCTTCTCTTTCACATACACAACAACAGCAACAACTTATGGAAGGTCCTCCTATTGATCACACACCGCGTGTTCCTCGCGATATCACCAAAGCACGCATCGACAATTTCATGCTCAAGGGGAGCATCTTTTATGAAATGGGTATCCATTATGGTCTATGGACGCATCGTCATAGTGGTCCTCCTCATGTCACGCTCAGCGTTTATAGCGTTCCAGACCTAAAGGTAAACCACCTACTACTTGACCTCGCCAATGATTACAATAACGGTCTAACATTTTGATTGGTATAGCGTATTCCTTTCAAGGCATGCACAAACAAAACTTGGATGGCGTATTTACGTGTTTACTAACATTTTTTCCTAATCGCAACAGGACGCCGTGACGCAAACTTTTGAAAAGGTTGGTCAACATGATCGCAAGTATGGTCCAAGTTGGGCGACGCATTGGTTCAAGGTGCACGTTGTTATCCCTCAATCTCTGGATGGCCAAAAAGTCGTATTCCAATGGGACATGGGCTGCGAAGGATTGATATGGTCAATGGATGGCGAGCCTCTTCAAAGCTTAACGGGTGGATGTTAGTATTCCAATCTCATCAACAACAACGTAGCATTGATTACCTACTAATATCTCTCTCTTTATCGCTCTTAGCGGATCAACAACGACATGAATACATTCTCACGGATCATGCCAAGGATGGTGACAAGTTTACCTTTTACATCGAAGCCGCGTGTAATGGCATGTTTGGTGTTGGTGATGCTGCTATGGTTCCCGATCCAAATCGCTACTTTTCAATCAAGACGGCTGACCTTGTTGTGCCCAATGCACCAGTGCAGGATTTGTATCATGACCTTGAGTACGTTGTACAATACATGCACAATGCAAACCTATTAATTCAGCGGTCATCTTCCCCTTTTTTCTTCCATCCAGGATTATCCGTGGTATTGCATATGACACCAACCCTGATACAGCAAGAGCTCGTGAAGCATTGTGGACTGTCAACAAAGTTATCAACTTGTTCAAGCTTGATGATCCAAAATCGATCCAGCAATGTAAATCCGTTACATCTCAGTTTCTTTCAATCAAGAATGGCTCGCCAAAAGGTCAACATCAGATATCAGCTATTGGCAACTGTCACATCGGTAAGTGGGTCTTTTATATTCTCAAGGGGAGTAGCAATCTATTTACATTCACATCAAAGACACGGCATGGTTATGGCCCTATGACGAGACCAAACGCAAGATTGCGAGATCGTGGGTGACTCAAGTGGATCTCATGGACCGATATCCCGAATACATCTTTACCGGATCACAGGTATGAGGTTGCGCAAATACCAATCCAGTTGCAAAAGGACATTGATGCTTATTGGTATGCAAGACTCAACAATACGAATGGCTGCGTGAATTATACCCAACCGTGTTTGATCGAATCAAGGAGAAGGAGAAAGCAGGACAATGGGAGATTATTGGAGGGGTAAGGATTATAGCTTCGAGATTCGTGTAGTGTCCCTGACTTATTTTTATCTTAGAGCTGGGTCGAACATGGCAAGTATACTTTGAATAGCAAAAAGGAGATCATCAATCTTCAGCGATGGATGGTATTAATTCTGTTTTTAGACACAAACATGCCTTGTGGAGAATCGCTTTGCCGACAAATGCTGCTTGGGTATGTTTATACATATGGACTTCAACGATTGGATTAACATGGTTCATAATGGTCTATGTATAGGCAACGTTTCTTTGACAAGCACTTTGGTAAACGAACCAAGATTTTTTGGTTGCCCGATTCGTTTGGTTATTCTTCCCAGGTAAGAAATGGGGGATGTAGTAGTAGGGGGGATAGAAGAAATTTCATTTCATCATCTGACTACGTATCCATAGCTACCGCAAGTCCTCAAGCTTTCCGGTTGCGATTATTTCTTCACCCAAAAGCTGTCCTGGAACAACATCAACAAATTCCCCCTCACAACCTTTTATTGGGTCGGCATTGACGGCACGAGAATCTTGGCTCACTTAACACCAGCCGACACGTGAGTTTTACTGAATCCGCCTATGTCACATGATGCTCACGGCTTCTATACTACTAGATACAATGCTACCGTCACCGTTGCAGAATTGAACAAATGGTATGCTTCACGCCATTACTGGTATCATGAGGGGTATTTATCTGATTGCTGCCTATGCATAGTGCAACAAAACATCATGACCTGGAGTATTCCAACGAGAGCTTGCTTTGTTTTGGACATGGCGATGGTGGTGGAGGACCTACTCCTGAAATGCTGGAACGATTAAGACGTGTGAACGACGTCGTAAGTATCGGTTTACATGCTGTGATATGTGGATCTCTTGTACGCTAATAAGAATGAGTGAATTACAGGATGGATTACCTATTTGCAAGCCAAGTAGTGCGCTTCAATTTTTTGAAAGGATTGCTACCAATGATCGTGGCCTTCAAGAATACAATGGAGAATTGGTAGGATATAGTATCAAGGTTTAATGCTTATATCACTGCTCACCATTTTTATCGTAGTACCTGGAATTTCATCGTGGCACGTATACCAGCCAGGCATTGGTCAAACAAGGCAATCGCAAATCCGAGTTTTTGGTGCGAGATGTTGAGATTTTGGGTGTCATGGCAACATTACTCGCCAAGTCCTTGGGCAAAACTTCAAGCTATAACTACCCCGTGGATGACTTAGACCATATTTGGAAGTTGTTATGCTTGAATCAATTTCATGATTGCTTACCAGGATCAGCTATTGGGTTGGCGTACAAAGACGTCCATAAGGTATGTATAAAGTACACAGCCAACGTGTCCTCGCAAATGATTAATGGTTGCGTTGTTGTTTTAATTAGCATCATCGTGAGATCATTTCGGATGCGTTATCCCTTCGACATAAGGCACAAACAGCAATCATGCAACTGCAAAGCGAGAAGACGATCGAGTCCCATGATCATGAAGGTACACACAATTGATCTATGAGAAATCCATGTACCCTACCTGGTATTAATGCTATGTTGTAGGCATGGTGGTCTTCAATACGCTTCCTTGGACACGTGCAGAGGTGGTCACTGTTCCTGCAAAGGGAACATCGTGGATTGGGCAGCAATGGACAGCAAATGGACATGAATACGTTATTGGTATGTGTATACGTCATTCATGGTAAAGCTATATGGCTTACATGGAGCTTGATGTAGTGCGTGATGTACCTGGTTTGGGTGCAGCTGGGTATGTAGCACACTCGCAAGATTTCATTGCTACGGCAAACGACAATGGTGCTAAAGGTAAAAAAAGGCTTGTCCCAGGGTTTGGGTATATGATTAACTTTATTCATACGTACGACATAGCATACCAAACCGAGGATGGCACTTTCGTGCTAGAGAATGTGAATCTTAAAGCGACGTTCAATGGTGAAGGTCAACTTGTACAGCTTGTTGACAAGAAGACGCCTGCAAGGTAAGCACATCCCCTAAGCTTTATTAACAATGACATCTAATCCCAATGACAGAAAACCACTTGTGCCAGAGAAGCGTGTCGGAAACTTACTTCAGCTGTATGAGGACGTGGTACGTAAATTTCATCATGTTTATCCAAAGCATCGATTGATATACTCACCTGGTCATTTTTGCTCATAGCCAATCTACTGGGACGCTTGGGATGGTATGGTGAACATGTCACTTTTTTATGCTATGGAAATAATACTCACATTTTCCAACAGTTGAGATCTACCATTTGCAAAAATGGAAAGCTGTCAAAGGAAGTGGAAATCTCAAGGTGAGTAGCTCGGCACATCTTGGCAAAAAGGCTCTCATTCCAATACTCGTTTGCTTGAATGCTATCGTAGGTGGTCTCCAAAGGCCCTATCAAGGCTGAGCTGCAGTTTTCACAAAGGATTTCTGACAAGAGTTCGATTGAGCAAACAATCAGCATCACTTGCATCGGAGAGCGTATTGAATTTAACAGCCATGTTACTTGGCACGAGAGTCATCAATTCCTGGTAATCTTTCCTCCCATCTTTATGCTATAAGCCAGCCGCTGACAACGATACACAGAAAGTAGAATTCCCTTGGGATCTCGTGAGCGATCACGTGAGTCATTGTTCGGATCCAAACAATGAACATACATATTGACATTATTAATTTTCACTAGGCCACTTATGAGATTGCATATGGTGCATTGAGAAGACCCACCCACTACAACAGCACAATCGATTCCGCCAAGTTCGAAGTAATTGACAATGATCTTTTATATGTGACCTCATTCTAAGATAACGTTGTATATAGGTTTGTGGACACAAATTTGCCGATTTATCAGAATCCAATTATGGTGTTGCTCTGCTTAACAATTGCAAGTATGGCTATGCTACACATGGGAACACCCAACGGCTTTCATTGTTGCGATCACCCAAAGGACCAGATGAGAACGCGGATATGGGTTTGTTTTAAAGGCATATACGAGTCATCAGCATACGCTGACAAATGTTGGTATGATAGGTGAGCACAAGTTCAAGTATGCCATTTACCCCCACAAGCATCATTTCAATGGGTCGAATGTTGTGCGTGAAGCTATCGAGTTCAACGTCCCTCTTTCTTTCCGGTAATATGAATCATTGGATAGAGAAGCATACGAAATGGCTGATATTGTGGACATGTAGCTATGCGAAAGACGATGAGCTCAAGGGTGGATCTATGCTGGATTCCCTATTCAAAGTGGATCCTCCAAGCCAAGTGATTCTGGATACGATCAAAACAGCTGAAGATGATCATGGTAAAGGTGATACATTGATCCTGCGTCTCTATGAAGCATATGGTGGGCAAGCTTGTGTCAAGTTGACAAGGTAAGAATGCCTCATTTTGTGATTCTAGCATAGGATATTGATGTCTTCTCGCATAGTTGTTTGAATATCAAGCATCTCACAATCACCAACGTATTGGAAGATGATCTCAACGAGGAAATTAAGCCCAATGCCGATAATAGCTACACATTGTGTCTCCACCCATTCCAAATCCTCAATCTCAAAGTATCCATTGCCTAAACACTTTCCATTGTGTATCCATCCAATAAAGCAGTACGAATATTAAAGACCAAACGACAAGCACAAAAAAAGGCTTGATAGCTTTTTAATAGCAAAGACGCATTTAACGGTAGCGACGGAGGGAAAGAGTGTTGCGTCTCTTCCAGTTGGAGTAACGGCCAGCACCCTTGGTCTTGGTGTACAAGTGACCCTTGCCCTTACCACGGCTCTTCTTGCCAATGGAGGTAAGACCACGAGCCTCACGGCGCTTGTGAACAGGGTTGACGATCCAGTTGATACGGGCATCGCGACGAATAGCCTTGTGGGAGGGGTCAACAAGGATAACTTCAAAGTACTTGTAAGTAGCATCTTGGTTGATCCAGTAAGAGTTCAAGACACGAAGGTTGGCACACTTGCGACCAACACGTTCTTCGGCAGTGGAACGAAGGGAACGTTGGTACTTGAGTTGGCTAACACCCTCATTGACAGGCTTGCCATAGGTAGCACCCTTGGGAACAGGTCTCTTGCGGCCACCACGACGAACACGGATACGGTAGATAACATAGCCTTGCTTGGCCTTGTAACCGAGACGACGAGCCTTGTCAGGACGAGAAGGACGGGAAGCACGATGGCACACGTTCAATTGACGGTATTCCCAGCAGCGAACACGCAACAAGAAACGGAAGACATCAGATTGCTTCTTGCGGTAGAGCTCCTCAAGATACTTGTAAGCTATAGAACACAATCGTCGTTAGCATACTAGTTCCACTCTATATTTTGAAGTCTAAATACATACCACCCATGGCAAATAAAAACCCTGCATTCCACAAATTGAAAAGGAAAAGGAAAAAAGAGAGTCGTTAGCAAGAGTGTTGGTGAATGGTACATTGGAACAAGTGGAGAGAGAAGTCGAAAGTCAACATTCGAATCGAAGGACTGAAATGGGCACTGCCTGATGAAGTCAAGTGGGCTCGTGGAAGGTTGAAACGATGAATTCATCCATCCTTCTTTGTATCATCCATCCATCATTGTATGCATCCATCGTAATCTCGAGCGAACTGGCTATCGTCTTCATCCACATTGTGTACATTAACCTACCTAATTGAGGACAGGGAAAAAGAGGGAGTCTTCAGATCACCTACCTGCACCTCTTGAGTGAGTCCAAGCGGGAGCGGAAATTCAATATAAGCGATTGTTGTCATGGCGATAGCTATCACCATTCCCCAGGATACGCCATTTCATTAATAAACCAACGAAATTGTTACAGTGCTGAAAGCACTTCTACCCCCCAAAAAAAAAGACACAATGCTACAAGTCGTGTTTAATATAGAGAGAGTATCATGATGATGGTAACATGCAAGGAATGTGTAAAGCAACTTTATTATTCTTCATCCTCCTCCTCATCTTCATCCTCCTCCTCTTCCTCCTCCTCACTTTCGATCCACATTACATCGGTGGTCCAGTCAAGTGCTTTTGGCTTCTTCTTCTTCTTCTTGTCTTTGCTGATGTTCTTCATGCCATCCACATTGTCACGAAGACTTGCCTTCTTTAGCTCCTTGAGTGCTTCACCAAATCCTGTTTTAACATAAATTCGACCATGAGTAAGACCACTTTCTATCTACTCTCTTTCTGAATACCTTGATCAATATCATGTTATCCAAAACTTTCTGGATTCCGTTTTTGTGAATCTCTTTGAGGCATTTTGGATATTGAAATCTTGCCACCTCGGTCAAGATGTAGATGCCCTTGTCCGTCATTTTTAATATCCCCACGTGGCAAGTCGCGCTCATGATTTGGATCATCGGCGGGAAGCCTTCAAACCACCACGATGCAGGCTGTAGCCGAGTATACCGCCTAATCCAGCTTTGCCCATGGATCTTTGGAGGTAGCTATATCGAAAGGGATGTGAGTATGTTCTTCATCAAGCAAGATGGTTAGGTTTTACCTTAAGAAACGAGCCAAATATCACAATGACAACAATGTCAATGAAAGTACGATAACAATGAGACACTAAAGATCATTGTGGATATTAGTAAATCGGTCGCTTACAAAGAGTGCTATCCACCATGACACTTACCAAGGGCTTTTGAAGGTGTCGGCAATCAGAAGAGTGGTATGGCGGAAGAAAGAGAAGAGGTACTAGGAGCAAAATGGGCGACAACATCCTTGTTTATTATATCTGCATGGTGGGCGTGGGTATTTCTGTGACCACACAAAGGAGGCGAAAGAGTGATAAAATGAATGATGAAGTGATAGGTTGGTGGGGCACCTTTACAAAGAAGGTCCTGAGTCCTTGATGTTCATGCATAAAAATAGGGAATCACTAGGATGCGACATCCAACAAGAGGCGCGACGTGCAAAAAGTGAGACTTACGCACGAGTGTCGTGCCTCTTATGATGTATGTCGCGCCTTTATAAGACCTTTCAAGATGAGTGGCGTCAATGACATCATTGATTCTCTTTTATTTTGATTACAAGATATTTTTTCTCGTCAACCTAAAACCATTCATGTATAAACCGCCTTATAGTTGTAGTCCTAAAGCATGCATGTTGTTGTATTGTAACATGGCATTAAATCATCCTCCTCACACACTCCAAGGACATTGATTCAAAAACCCCGTTTGAAAGGACACTATCTAAGTATCGTACCATTCACATTGACTATTTGATACCCTTTCAGCTTTGTGCATGATATGCATTCGTTGATAGATGGATGGGCTTTATTGAATGAGACACCGCTACTACGCTGATAATTGCCTGATAGAACCTAATTAGTCCGCCTTACTTTCTTTCGTCTTCAATGATATGAAAAGAACCAGATTCGACCGCACTGTTGATGACAGCCATAGCAACAATGACTCGACTCCCGAGGATACGCCATCGCTATTGACTTCACGATCCACACCATCCTTACCAGCACTCGTAAATTATGCATTGCTTGCAACGTTATCGAAGCGACCCCAGTCAATGACCATGCATCGTGGCTCTAGTCAACAAGCGTCGTCACCAATTCCTGAACGTAGCGTGCAAGTAGGGTCTGGCATTGCTTCTTGAGTAGTAACTAACGCCGTGGGTACATTAGGCCTTTGGTTCGACGCAACTCCTTTAGCAGCTTTCTCACTAAAAAGTATGGACATACAAAGTCAACGCGACCTCCAGTGCCAGTCAAGATTATGGAGTTCAATCCACCTACTCGCAAAGGACATCGGCCTCGGTCGTATTCAGAGTGAGTTTTAAGGGTAAAACATGTTAAATCTGGCAAGAGTGACTTATGGAGGATTATGCAGAGTACCAGCTATACCGCCACCTGTGGAACGTGCCCCACCTGTTGCCATGACAAACAAGACGCCGATCTACGAATACTATGGTTTCGTCATGTATCTCGTGTCATTTGTTGGATTAGGTATCTATCAAGGGAACATGATTCGTCATTATGCGTTTGCTTACATGGTGGTGTGTGCGTGTACCCAGGCATTTACTTGATTTGGGCGTATGTACCTGACGAGATTCTTCACAGCTTGGGGATTACTTATTATCCTAAACGGTAAGGATTGTCGATGTTGTTATCCTTTACATGGGATGTTGATATATACTTCTATAGGTATTGGGCTTTGGCGGTTCCAATCTGGTTGATGACATTGGTGTGGTTTATCTTCATTTCGTTTATGAGCATCAATCTTATGAACACGGCACCATTTGACTCGTTCCATTGCATCACAGGTCAGTTGAACATCAAAAAGGAAATTTGATTGATGGGTTGTCTAATATCGATCAATCAGATGAACATGCCAACGTCATGACAGAAGACTATCAAGAGAGACCAGATGACTGGACACCCGAGTTGCATGATATACCCATCAGCGTGGTCAATGCGTTCTTATACCAACAGCAACCAACGGGATACAAAAATGAGGATATGGATAGTTTAGATGAGCATCTTACATTGCGTCGGAAGACAAAACGTGATTAAATAGACAACTTGTCTCTATCAATGAATGTTTGCTATATGATGATTGACACAACAAAGCATGTTAACGTGCCTTTTTACATTTAAGCTTTGCATCTTAGTCAAGCTGATCTAGTCGCATGTCGTTATTACATCTTTGTTTACCTTACTTGGTATACTTCACTTTTGGAATGTCCTCTGCAAGTGGATATAAATGGATAGGCATCATGTGAGTTGGGCCCATGTTGATGGGGGAACAAAGCAACATTGGGATATCCCGGAAAAAATATGTGCATGGGAGATAGGGAAAGGATAGATAAGAAATTATCCCCCACTGCCTCGATTCGTGAACATGTCATCGTAGCATGTATATAAAAGGCGAGAGAAAAAGCAACGCCGTAACGGAATCAACATCTCTCTTTTCCTTTTCGCTTATCATGGCTGTAGTGTCAAACGCCCCACTCTTATCAAAGTATCTTAATCTCGATCAAAAAGGTTCAGTGCAAGTTGAATATGTTTGGATCGATGGTTTCAATCAATTACGAAGCAAAACAAAAACCGTGAACAAGATCCCTACCTCTGCTGCCGATTTACCCGAATGGAATTTTGATGGCTCTTCTACAGGTCAAGCTGAAGGCCATGATTCGGATGTTTTAATCAAGCCGGTAGCTATGTTCAATGACCCATTCCGTGGTGGTGACAACAAGTTTGTCCTTTGCGAAACCTTTAATCCTGATGGTACCCCTCATAAAACAAACCATCGCCACGCATGTAACAAGATCATGCAAGCTCACGCCGACTCACATCCATGGTTTGGTATTGAGCAAGAGTACATGTTCATTGATCCTCAGATCCAAAAGCCTTATGGATGGCCCCAACATGGTTATCCAGAGCCACAGGTAAGCACATCAACATGTACAGCATGACGCATTGTATATGTATACATATTCCTCGGGGTATTTATTAACACTCATTGTCTATGAATAGGGCAAGTATTACTGTGGCGTGGGTGCAGGCAAAATCTTTGGTCGTGATATTGTGGAAGCACACTATCGTGCATGTTTATATGCTGGTATCAATATCTCTGGTGTCAATGCAGAAGTTGCCCCTGGTCAATTTGAATTCCAAGTTGGGCCATGTGAAGGGATCGAAGGTGAGGAAAAACAGTAGAAGGATCAAAAAAATCTTGCTGACATCAGCTAATACTGTAGGCGGTGATCATTTATGGGCCGCACGTTATCTCTTGGATCGCGTGAGTGAAGACTTTGGTGTTGCAGTGACGATTCATCCTAAGCCTGTTCAGGGTGATTGGAATGGTGCAGGCTGCCACACCAACTTTTCTACCAAAGAAATGCGAGAAGAAGGGGGTATTAAAGCTATTGAAAAGGCTATTGGCAAGATGGCTAAACGTCACCTTGAGCATATTGCTGTTTACGGCGAGGACAATGACCAGCGCTTAACAGGACGACATGAAACAGGGCACATTGGTACATTCAACTATGGTGTGGCTAACCGTGGTGCATCTATCCGTATCCCACGTCATGTTGGCAAAGAGGGCAAGGGTTATCTTGAAGACCGCCGACCAGCATCTAACATTGATCCTTATCGTGTCACTGGTATCATTGTTGAGACGACATTCCTCCCCGACAACTAAAGAAATGAAGATAATGTAGCCATACAATAGCTGCTTGTAAATTACAGAGAGAATAATGTGATCAATGTAGATACAATATTAGTCTAATGAATCGTGCAGTAAGATTTACCAATTTAAAGCAGCGGTCGGGTTCTAGGTGCATGTCTTTCACCTCCTTTTCCTTTTCTTCTTGAATCATGTTACGCACAAGCCGTTATGTTTATTTCATAGGCGTTGTTGTGCTCTTTACTTTAATCTTTTATCTCGTTCCAAGGTTGCAGCAACCATCACCAAGCCAACAGCAAAAAGGATCTGTACAGCAACAACACCCACCACCAGCAACGCCACAAAACTATGGCCAACAATACAACGACGGGCAGGCACCCACTCGTTATTTCTCTTGGCTTCCTCATGGGTACGCAATGACTGAATGAACTAGTGAAAAAGTAATCTAATGGACGCAATGGAACATATATAGAGAGTTTGCCGAGCAGCATGAAGCCTTCCGGAATGCGATTCGGATAGCCTATGAGACAAAGCGTATCATGGTAGCACCCAAGTTACGTCTTGGTCACCCGTATCCATGGCAGCCGTTCGAGCAATTGAAACAACGATACGAAGCCCAAGACAAGAGAGTACTTCGAGAACTATGTCGTAGTGGTAGAGAGGATTGGCGCACGCAGCTTGAGCCTTGTGATACACTTGATGAATGGATGGAAATTAGCTGGTCATCACTTTTCAACTTGCGAGCACTGGAAGAGGAATTTGGAGTACGTGTGATGGAATGGCCTAATCCAGCGATACCCGTTGATCAAGGCGTTGTGGTGGATCCCATGAGTTATGCAGCCAATGGAAGTAGCATTGAGCATGGTGCCATCGTTATGCAACCTGCAGAGCCATTGACGAGTCCTCTCAAGAAGTATCTCAGCTCGGATGACCTCATTGCTCTTGATGCTCCGTTTATCCAATTTGGCGCCCTTTCTTCAGCAGCCCGATATAAAACTCGCCACAGCAAAGGGCAGTCCGCTTTGAGGCGCGCGCTCAACAGCCGATTGTTTGTGACACCCGATCAGCTGCGCCCACTTTCATATGCTGCTGATCAAATCTCTCAAGCATTGGGTGGTCGATCTCGTTACAGTGCATTGCATCTTAATCTTCGACAACAATTGGAACGAAGCGAACATTCTCCTCAAAAGGTGATGGAGGCTTCTGTCATGGAAATCTTTGGTGACATTCCAATCAATCAAGCTGTTTCAGCCGCTATGCTTGTCCAACCATCACGCCTCGCTGATATGGTCAACCAAACAGGCTCACCCGAATTACTCGATGCATGTGTCGAATATAGAAACACAATCGACAAGCGTTACCCTATTTATTATCTTGTCAACGATGTGACGAATGATCCAAAGACACAACTCGATCTTTTTGGTCCATTGTATCGGGCATTCCCTTGTGTATTCTCGAAGCAAGATCTCATGCAATGGGGACGCTTGAATAAGGATTGGGCAGCTGAGATTAAAGAAGAAGAAGCAGGAGGAGACCCCAAGGATACAACAAAGTATGAGGATGTGCTGGCACCCATCTTGGACATTTTAGTGGCTTCAAGAGGTAAGCAAGGAGTGTAATAACATCATCGTGACATGTTGCTGATATATATCCCTTTCCCCTTTGCAATAGCATACTCGTTCTTTGAGATACCACAGACAGGATTAACGCGATTCATGGCATGGCAGCCCAAACAGTAATAATAAAAAGGAATTTCTTACATCATTATTGCGATAAAAGAATGGAAGGGTATCGAAGAGTGCGTGAAACAATATGCACTGTGTTTCACAAATGGGGGGCAGTTTGCATGAATCAATAAACAAGGGTCCATAGTATGGCATTTTCTTTCTTTGTTTCCTTTCTATCGATTAAACATACACACCATGCTACCCACACGTATTCCAGTGAATAGGATTATCATGTCTCGTCGATATAATACAGCAGCACCTCCCCCTGGTGGTGGTGGCGGTGGTGGTAGTGGAGGAAAGTTGACAGCGTTGGCTGCTGTGGTACTTGGTGCAGCGGGTTACATGTATTACAGCAAACAAAGAAACTTGGATGGTAAGACAATCAATCCTAGTTTATTATTATTTACCATTATTGACGCTATCTACTGAATCAGATGCTGCACATCATGGACAACCAATTTTGACAACGCCACCTATCCCATCTCGTGCTAATTCACCACCAACAACGACCACAACTACTGGTGCCACCCATGTCACGTCGACGCATGCTCAATTGGCCCGAGACCATTTACAAGCAACTGGTACTGAGATTAGGCATATGGCCCAGGATGCTGAGAATCGAGTAGTCAATGCTGCTGAAAATGCTGAACGACGTGTAAAGAACACGGCATCGGATGTTGAACATCGAGTGAAGGAAGATGCACATGAACTTGCTGATAAGGCTGATACATTTGCTGTTGAGCATCATCTCAAAGCACATGGCGAACGATCGGCCGAAAGTGTTGTACAACAAGACACTGCCAATAAGTCTGTGGATGGTATCGTGGCTGATGCAAGTGCATGGTCGAATCCAGAAGCACACGCCAAATACGAGGAAGCCAAGGATCGCGTAGAAAACAAATGGAACCAAGCTAAACAAGATGTGCATGAAACGGCTGATCGAGCAAGTTCAACTTGGCAACAGACCAAAGCCGATGCCAAATCTACAGCTGATAAAGCGCAACAAAAGAAGGATGAGTTATCACGTGAAGCATCATCAACATGGCAAAGGACAAAGCAAGACGCCAAGGAAACTGCCGGCCAAGCAGGTGCTGCATTGGATGAAAAGACGAATAGAGCTGCCAACCAAGCCGAGTCATGGTGGAATCAGACCAAGGCCGAAGTCGAGGAAACAGCCAATGAAGCTGCTAATCGTGTTGACGCAGCATGGCAGAAGACCAAAAAAGATACTGAAAGTGCTGTCAATCAAGCCAATGCTGCATGGGATCGAGCTGCCAATGATGTCGAGAACAAGTGGCAACAAACCAAACGGGATGCTGAGAAAGCTGTCAACGACGCCAACGCTGAGTGGGAACATGTTAAGAAGGAGACACGTGAACAAGTTGACAAGGCGGGCCGAGATATTGATACGTCATGGCAACGCACCAAGAACGAAGCCGAGAATGCATGGCAACAAACCAAGAATGAAGCTGATAATGCATGGCAACAAACCAAAAAGGATGCGGATGAACTTGGCCGACGTACTGAATCAGCTTGGGAAAAAACCAAAAAGGATGCAGATCAACTTGGTCGCTATGCTGAATCATCTTGGGACCAGACTAAAAAGGACGCTTCTGCTGCTGCACATCGAGTGGAAGACAAGATGGATAATGCTGCCCATGACCTTTCTTACAAGTGGGAAGATGCAAAACATGATGCTCGTGCCAAAGCCCAACAAGTGGATTCATCGTGGCAACAAACGAAACAAGATACAGCTGCCAAGACCGATAGAGCTGCTTCTCAAATTGGATCGACTATTGACCAAGGCAAGCAAGATGCTAGTGCAAAATTGGATCAAACTCGACGTGATGCAAACAATGCTATGGATAAAGCAGAGACCAAATGGGAGCACTGGAAATCTGAAATCCGTGATGAAGCCCAACGACTTCGTGGCAATGCAGCTGAAACATATGAGGAAGCAAAAGAAAAGTTGGATCTGGATCATGGCAATCGAAAACCAGCAAGACAAGTGGTTGAAGAAGAACGTGGAGACAGCAAATTGTAGAAAAAACAAAAGAAAACGCAAGAAAGAGTTGATGTCTTTTTTGAATCTAAAAGCAGACAACTATAAACACAATAATACTATCATAGTATACAAGTTTTTTGGGTTTTTTGTTTTTGGGGAAGTGGAATCTTATTTACTGCACCTTCTTCTTCTCTTTGGACTTTTCCCTTTGTCTAGAAAAGAGAGCGTTTTAGCCCATTGATCCCGAGAAATAGCATCATCCATGCACCTATATACTTACATTTCCTCCTCATCCTCATCATCACTACGAGTATCCTCGGCCCCCTTTCCTTGAATGACTCGGTAGACCACCTTGACAATCATGCTGAACCAGTAGATCATGATGCAATCCAACAGCAAGAACAACGTCAGGTACATTTTCTGTGTCGATGGCGTAAAGTATTTGCCCTTCTCAGGTTCCCATTTCATGTCGAGGTATTTGTGTGGTTCAACTACAAATTACCCATCCATGTCAATTTCCTCTTCCTCCTAGATTCGTCATAATCCTTATCCATTGACTTACATGCTGTTGCCCATATGATGACTGTGAAGAATCCATGTCGTGTGATTGGCCATGCAATAGCGAATGCGGCAAAAGTCATATCGCACAAGGTGGAGAAATCCAGGTACTTGAGAATCTTGGCCAACTGGATATGCATATGTCGTACACAAACATGTCAAAAAAAGAAAAAGAATCACCCGATATAGCTAAAAAACGCTTACCGATAACAGCAAATCCGATAAATCCATTGAACAAAGTACTGCATTGCCAATACGCGTAAAGTTGGTGTAATAGCTGGATACAAGCAAAGTGATGGTGATGACGTGATGGGTGACCATGGCGAAGTGATCTTTTCTTCGTTTTTCAACGTGAAGGGCATATAGTTGTTGGATAAAGAAAGCTGTTTGCATGAGGTAATAGCTCTTGATATCGCGTTTCATCATGATATGGGGATAATCGATCCAGAAATAAGACGTGTTGAACCAGTAAGGGCTGTGATACATGAGATACTAGTGACAATGAACCTCTCGGTTAAATAAAACAATCACCTTTCCATTCCTTTCCTTCCGTTGACAATATTCATCCTCTCCTCAAGCCCCGGTTATTCCCCGCTACCATCATCATCCATGCTTACCATTCCCCAGATCCAGAATACGGCATAGTAGGTGAACATGAATCCTTGCTCTGCAAATCGTTGGCGTTTACCAAATGGCTCGATGCCGGTCAACCTTGCGAACGGATGAAAGATGTATTTGATAAAGAACGCGCGTAGAAACGTAAAGGCGACCACCCAAAAGCCAATAAAGTAAATGTCGTCGTTGCCCTTGTCGTATGCATCCGGCCCGATCTTGTATGATAGAAGTAGACACCGTGTTGCTAGTGGTGACCCTGCCCACCAACTTCCAATAGCCAAAAGACATACGAGACCCGTTATCTCTATACCAAATAGAGTCTGGACATTAATACCAACGAAGATACGCGTAGAGTGTGGCGCGTGCACCATTCCCAAGTTCATGATGTGCACCATGGCGTTTCGTTACCGAGTTCAAAATTAAGTAAACGTTCTGTCATGCTCTCATTTTGGACATGAGCCTTGAGTGACTTGAGTGGTTTCTCTTGTGTCATATCCGAGAGGCAACGGGAAACGAGAAAAGAGGGAAAAGGAAAAGGAGGATAAAAAAGTTGTAAAGAAAGAAGAGAGAGAGAAGGAAGGCTAAAGGAACGGGACCGTTCAATACGCTTGTGCCCCGATAAATTCCAGCTCTCGCTTTCTTTCTCTTCTTGCAGCACACGGCGAAACGCTTTGCAGCATAGAGTTGCGCCTGGTGGGATGGTTGCATCATGTAACGTATACACGAGAATTTATTTGACAACCATCGGATGCTTTGGGATCATCAGGTTTTTCCGAGTACAAGTCGATCTTGTGAACAAACATACACACGCACAAAAAAGATAAATCACCTTATCCAAGTTATAGCTTGATCATTCCTGTTTCGCTTTTTTGGCGCCAAATGAATCAATTCAGCCGTTTACTGTTTATAGAACCAGTTACAAGCTAGCAGCGGACCCCTTGTTTCCGAACGACAGGGCTTGGGCCTGGCCTTGACTTTGACCACAATCACTCACTCACTCACTCATTGTCCCACCCCATACATGTATTGAAAAAACGTTCTTTGTTCCTTTCCTTTATAATAAAATGCATCATTCATGGTGCTGGATGACCTTTATCCCTTTGCTGGTTGTATAACGTATCCATGGTTATGGTGCGTCTTAAACAAGAGTGGATAATGTTATACTATGGCCAACGCACAACAGGTTTTCCTGCTCAGAAATACCCGCCAATAAGAGCCACCATAAAGAACCACCCATTTTTTTTAAATGTTGCCACCTTGTTTATCTCAGCAGGTCCTTATTTTTATGCATGGACATCAAGGATTCCAGGGCCCTCTTTGTAAAGGTGCCCCACCAATCTATCACTTCATCATTCATTTTATCACTCTTTCTCCCACGCCCACCATACAGAGATAATAAACAAGGGTGTTGTCGCCCATTTTGCTCCTAATACCTCTTCTCTTTCTTCCGCCATACCACTCTTCTGATTGCCGACACCTTCACAAGCCCTTGGTAAGTGCCATGATGGATAGCACTCTTTGTAAGCGACCTATTTGCTAATATCCACAATGATCTTTAGTGTCTCATTGTTATCCTACTTTCATTGACAATGTTGTCATTGTGATATTTGGCTCTTTTATTAAGGTAAAACCTAATCATCTTGCTTGATGAAGAACGTACTCACGTCCCTTTCGATATAGCTACCTCCAAAGATCCATGGGCAAAGTTGGGTTAGGCGGCATAGTCTGCTACAGCCCGCATCGTGGTGATCTGAAGGCTTCCCGCCAATGATACAAATCATGGGCACGACATGCCATGTGAGCATCTTAAAGATGACAGACAAAGGCATCTCATCTTGAACGAGGTTTCAAGATGAATTTCACTATCCGAAGACACTCATAGAGATTCACAGAAACGGAATCCCGAAAGTTTTGGATCACCTTACATTGATCAAGGTATTCAGAAAGAGAGAGAAGATAGGAAGTGGTCTTACTCATGGCCGAATTTATATTAAAACAGGATTTGGTCCAACAGCTGAAGGAATTCAAGCAATCAAGCATTCGTGATACAGTAGATAGAATGGACCGTATTATCAATAAAGATAAGAAGAAGTCAAAAGCCATGACACAGGAGGATTGGATCAGCGATGTGATGTGGATTAGTGAGTGTGATACTATTTGCCGGTTGAAGGTGCTTCAATAATGGCTTGTTGACAATGACTACCTGCAGGATTGTTGGTGCAAGACGCTGAGAATCGTTTTTACACGGGCATTGATTTCCGCTTACTTTATAATTTTTGACTGCGTTTTGCAAGCACAAATCTGAGCTAATATAATCACTATACTTTCAATCATGCCAATGTTGCGGGGTGGGTATATGACATTTGTCATAGAGTATATGTGTTGGTGGATTTACACAACAAAGCCTACTTTTTATAAGGGGACATGTGTCAGGTGATGTACGTAGACAAGTTAAACAGGTTGAGGATGTGAATGCAATGCACCACACTAAAAGGGGGAGGAGGGAGGGAGGGGAAAAGAGAGAGAGCGAGAGTAGTTGTGTGAGAGCGCAAAGCTTAAGCGGATGATCTTCCTTACAAATCGGCTGTCAATGCACGCCTGCTTGGGAAAGCAAATTTGTTATTCCGCTAAACTTGCTGACTTATTCGAATTGTGTCGTGTTATAGGTATAAAAGCAGCCATTTCCCTCCAAAGCTTCTTTATAACCCCACACTCTCTTCTTACTTTTATTTATCATGTCTGCTTCCGACCGTCTCAACACTATCAAGGGCCACTTGTCTGGTAACTATCCTCAAGGTCTTTTGGCTGGCGACGTTGCTATCATTACCGGCTCTGGGTAAGGCCTCATGCAGCTCATTTCATATACCTTCATTGGCATGCAACTAACCCATGGAGTAGTCAAGGTATTGGTAAGAGCACTGCTGAACTCTTTGCTCGTGAAGGTGCTCTTGTCACTGTCACCGATCTTGATGCTGGTACGTAAAAGCAAAGTAATGGTATGCTTAGGCATTGTCTTATTGACCCATCCACACCACTCTTTTTGCATATAGCCAAGTCTGATCAAGTTGCTGCTGACATCAACGCTGCTGGTGGTCGCGCCATCTCTGTTCCCGGCAACGTGATGGACCCTGCTTTCCCCGAAAAGGTCGTTGAGGAAACCGTCAAGGCTTTCGGCAAGATCAATCACATTGTCAACAATGCTGGTTACACCCACGATGGCATGCTTCACAAGATCAACGACAAGCAATGGGAATCCATGCTCACTGTTCACCAAACCGCTCCTTTCAAGATCATTCGTGCTGCTGCCAAGTACCTCGTAAGTGTTATTAGGCATATACATCTTTTCAATTCTTCTTTTCTAATATGTCATGATGATTTGTTGTTTAGCGTAAGAAGGATGGTGAAAACAAGTGCATTGTCAACGTAAGTTATTATCTCTTTTAGAATGTACATGTGTACTCATCCATCTTTTGTAATAGATCTCCTCTACTTCTGGTCTTCATGGTAACGTTGGCCAAGCTAACTATGCTACTGCCAAGGCTGGTGTTGTTGGTTTGACCAAGACCGTTGCCAAGGAATGGGTATGTTGTTGTTACATGCGTGGATGAGAAAGGGCATTAGTATTCACATGGCATATGGTAGGGTCTTTTCGGTGTCCGCTGCAACACTGTTGCTTTCGGCTGGGTTGATACTCGTCTCACTCGTGCTAAGGAAGCTGGTACTGCCATTGAAATTGATGGTCAAAAGGTCGCCCTTGGTGTCCCTACTGCCAACCGTTCCGCTAAGGTTAACCCCTATGCTGATATCCCTCTTGGTCGTGCCGGTAACGCTGAAGAGGTTGCTGGCTCTGTCATGATGCTCTGCACTCCCCTTGCCACCTACATCACTGGTCATACTCTTGAAGTCACTGGTGGTCGTGGTATCTAAGAGCTTTAACAGCCATGTCTATTTATTAGCACCTTGTCCTTTGTCATCTCCATCCCTTTCGCGATCATATCCCCATCTCCTTGTATAGAAAAATAAAACACAATTTGTATCCGAATCTACTTTATATACTTGGGCTCAAGTCATAAATAGGATTGCCACCTATTGTACCATGTAATGGGAGGATGAGCCAAGTGGCGCGCTGTTGATCCCTGCCAATGTGGCTGGTCGGAAGACACTTGGCCAACCAAATCGGTTACATGGCAGACATCCGTTGAGCAAAAATAGCCATTGGTCCAAGGGATGATGGCATATGCTACCTCGTCTTTTTTCTTTCTTTTGTTGACAACAAAGCATATAAGGATGGTCATTTTTTCGTTGTAGCATAGCAACGATGATGCATACGAATGTAATGGTATGAATGTTGATATGAAAAGAGCACACATCAATGATGATTCTTATGATACAAAAAAATGTTGCATGATCCGCTTGCATGGTTTCGGTCGTGTGAGTGGAGAGCAAACACCAGCTGAGCACTCTCGTTGCGATCTATGTTCCACTTGTGCACTACAGAAATCATGGAAACCGGAAATCCATTTCCGATCCACTCTTCTTTCACATAAAAACCAACCGTGGCCTTTGTCTTTTTACATTTCTTTATTCGAAACTACTCTCATATCTTTTACAACATGACATTTGCAGTCGGCTATGAAATGGGTAAGCATGATAGTGGGATACTATGACGAAGTGTGTTTTTAACTGGTGGTCTATGATAGAGTCTATGCCCGGAAGGGTTGTTCCTCCCCCATTGCTTCATGACAAGATCTCATTGACGAGCTCTGGCAACACATCACGTTGGGTATTCTATGGCACACGTAAACAAATTATCGATTGGATGCGAGAGCATGCGAATCTGGTGGTTGAGTACAACTTGTTCAACGACAAGCAGCACCATGAGAACCCGCCGACTGAACTTGTGTTTGACTTGCACTACCTGCACGACAGCGAGCAATCCTATTACAACTATGTCAAATCTTTCTTTGTAAGCGATTATGAGCATGAGCGTGTCAAAGTGGAAATCAGACCCAAGCTTGACAGCAAGGACCATGACATCCAAACCATGTGCCGGGTCTATACACGCAGCAGTGTGCGTTTGGGTGATGTGGTGGACGAGTTGGAACATCAATGGCATCAACCTGCAAGGAGCTACTATCAACAAGCTGTGGATGCATATAATGATAGCCCTGGTCCATCCCATGTGCTAAGCTCGGTGGGTCCTTCATCCATTCGTGTTGGTCAAGATCCAAGTGTGCAAGTTGGACGCCCCTCACAACAACAACCAGCAGCAACAGTAACCGATGAAAAGTGATCTCCCCACAACCAACATGACAACCCTAATTTAACCCCCATCCCATCCCATCCCATCCATGTATATATATCATGATATCTTTGTTTTACATTGACGAATACAACTACCATTTGGATTAACGTATCAAGCTAAAATATGAATGCTGGCTAGCTTAGTTACAATGGAGGGAGCAAGGGTTGGAGACTCATCATTGGATCCAAGTGATGCCATTTAGTACGCTTACATATCCCTTTCATCAATAACCCACCAATCATTGCAAGTAATGTCTTATCGTTGATCATGTTTTAATAATATAACAAAGGGGTAATTGAGCAATCATGGGTATTCGTGTTTTGAATGATTCAGAATGTCTCCAAACTCATCGGTGACAGAAATGTGTGGCAATTGTGTACGTGCATATTTCACAATGGTGTAGAACGTCCTGCCGCAGAAAAGAGTACCAAGTTTAAGTCGACGTAGCTGAGATTTGTCCTTTAATGCATCCACAAGGCGTCGAGCACCTGCATCTGTGACCCCGAGGCCGTGTTCCAATGATAAACTGATAAGCGTATCCAAACGTGTCTCCATCAAGGCATCAAGTACGTCATCGTTCACTTGTTCAAGGCGTCGAAAGCGTAATTGATTCAAATGCTTCAAGTTGTCACAATGCGCAAGTTGTACAAGCTTTTCGCTTGATACATGGCTGGATGGACCGACCAATTGCAAGGATGTCACGTGCGGCATGTTATTCATGATAAAGACGACATTGTCATCGTTAACAAATCGCTGTGATGATAAACCAAGGTGGATCAGGTTGGGGCAATGCTTCACAAGGGCGGCAAGTGGTGTCATTAAACTGCATGAACGGGGATCGTCGGATAAGTACAACGTGGTAAGCGCTGGAAATGAAGAGTCGTCCATCATTAGTACAAGGCCAGAGTTGTTGCTGCCGCTACAATTCACAGCAAGTGAACGTATGGTTTTGGAGGGTAAGATCTCATTGGTGACATGGGTCTGGATTGTTGTCAGGCATGATGTAGCTGTTGTCGTATCATTCAGGTCGTCATTTTTAAGCGTTGCCGGGCCAACCAAAGGATCATGCTCATATAAATGTAGGCGTTGGACACATGAAGCCTGCATACTCAATCCATTGATCGATCCACGAAACACGGTTGATAGTTGTGGACATGCTGTAGTGAGCGTTGATATAGGAGGGCAAGTTTTTGCTGATGTGGAAAACTGTATCAAGGATGGCGTATATTTGATAATGTTGGAGCACATGTCGATTGGACCAATGATAGTCATCCCCAAATGCAAATGGGTCAAATGATGTAGTACTGGATATTCACTCATCATGCGTGAGGTCGCAATGGTGCCGTAGGTGCCCTTGTCAAGTAGAATACCCGATTCCTGATAGTCGAAATAGACCAGGTTGGGGCAATGTTGGAATACTTGTCGAATAGGATCATTGAAGGAAGCAGCATCGTCTGTCACCGTGAGCTCAAGGTATCGCAACTTGTCGCCCGTTTGCTTCAATAGCTCCATAAACTTGGTCATTGTCTTGTTCCCTTTGCATTGTATCTTGACTATGTCAAGAAGATAAAGTGTTGTTACCATTACATATCAATTGTGCCCATACTTGTAATACTTACTTGTTCGTACATTGCTGCAATGAAGACGCACAATAAACTGCAACTTCCTGAACATGTGCTCCTCCAAGAAAAAATCCAACTCTGTAATCCACTCGCTGCGCACGTGATCAGCATTGTCCTTGACAAGGTCATAGTTGTAGCTTCCCAGCCTTTGATAAAGTCGAGGCCAATGTAATAAAGCGTCTCTCCAACGATCGCTCACGGTGATGCATCGCTTGCAGTCGGCATATGTCAATCGCATAAAGATCATGTGCATGACCTCCAAAGGAAGTCGACGGACGGGATCGCTGCCATCCGTCCTGGAGTTAAGGAGACAAAGACAATGGGCATGAGTGTCGATTGGTACCTTTCTTGTACACGATACTACTTCACTTACATTGGGGTGTGTCAAACACGCTGTTACTGAGAAAGAGGAGGAGTGGGAAATGATTCACGCATGCTGCAAATGCATGGTGGCCTTTATGCCTCAGCGTGTTACAAGAATGAGTCTTTCAGTGGATTCACAAAGTTGGTTTTCATTACTTTTTCAATGGGACAATAAGACTAAAACGAATCAAAGCAATTACTAGAAAGCAAAAGAGAGAGAGAGAGAGAGAGAAAAGCACTGCAATAATAAAAGAAAGAAGGATCACAGCCAAGCATAGATGGATGTGGCAATGGCAAGATAAGCAGCTGTATCAACTTTGTCCTTGACAGTATTAACAATGCCTCCTGCAGCGGATGATGTGCCATCTCCATTGGCACCATCTTTACCAGAAGAGCTGACAGGCACAGCCGTATCCTTGTATTGACATGTTGACGATGTGCAAAGACATTGGTTGCCAATTGGATCCCACCACTCGGTATCACAATTGTCGGGGAGAGGATAACGATAGCCATTGGTACCATTCTTGGCAGAAGAGGGTGGTACTGGGGTGCTGAGCGTGGGTGCCGTGCTTGGACAATTGAAGCATGTCTTGAATGTTGTGGTACCAAAATTGCAATTGTTGGTCAAATCTTCATCCACTTGATTGTTGCTATTATCATCCAAGCCGTTGCAGATTTCTTTGTCAATCACAGGTTGTTGGCATTTAAGATAATCTTGATTCTTAAGCTCGGATGCCTTGACAGGATTCTTCATCCATTGTAGTAGTTGCTGGTTGGTCACAAACCACACATCCGGCTTGTCAGCTACGGATTTGATAAACGATATCAACCCGTCCAGCTTGGGTTTAGGATCCGGCAACCCCGGGTATCCTGTAAGATGTGCTATGTACATGCCTTTGTGTTAATGAAAAGTGGATGGCATTGATGATATCAAGTACTTACTGGGGTGGATGTAGATACCAAATGGCTGTCGTTTACCATTGTAGTGAGTATTAAATGCATCGGTGCTCCATTTGGTCACTTCTTCAGGATTCCCAGCCATATACACATCCATCAGCTGTGGTATGCCACCTGTATCTGGTACAGCGTACATTGGAATTTCCCATATACCAGGCACTTTGGTACCACAAATGCCCGTCCAGCAGTCATTGGCCATGCCATAATCCAAAGTGTATGGCCAATAGGCATCCCCTGGAATAGCACTTGCACTTGAATCATATGCAAAGCCTTGCTTCTTGAGTGTGTTGAGCGTGTTGGCAGTGTAGTTTAAAAAGGGGGCTCGAAAACCTTGGATTTTGCCATTCGGTACGCCTCCATAGCTGTTGAGCATTTGGCGACAACTTGCAATCTCCTCTACGGATTTTAAAGGATCATGATGATGATGAGCTTAACCTTATTTACGTTTTGATCGCATTACAACTCACCTTCTGAAGGATCACCCACATGTGTAAATGTATGGCTGGATCGGGAAAGAAAAACAACGTCAGCTGACTTGTACCATTTGCATGATTGCGTTTGACAGCTTACTCAGCGATCTCATTTCCCGAGGAATACCATTGTTGCACCAACGAGAAATCAGTGTACTGCATGGAGGTAAACCTAAACGTATCATCAGCCCTTGTTTTCCTTGTCCCATTTTATTGCTGCACATACCATGTGCCTTTTGCAGAACATCCATTCGGGTTCCTTTAAGGATCAATCAGCCATACAATCGGTAAATTGGGTTGAGAGAATCATTTTCACTTACGTGACATTAAGGATTTGCTTTGCGGTATCCATAAGAGAAGGCTGGATAGAGTCATCGAATGTAATAGTGACGAATTGACTAAAGATGTCATCTTTGTCAGTAATCATTTCCCCTCGTTGCTCGTTTCAAAATAGGGGTATTATGGATAGTTACGGTGTGTCTTGGGGTGACAACCCATTGGGCGGGTCTTTGGAAGCACAGTGGCAGTTGTTGGCAATTTGGCAAACGGCGGGGTCACAAGAGTAACCAGGTGCTCCCGAGGAACCTGCTGCTGCTGCATTACCACCATTGGTTCTTACGGCAGCACCTTCCTGTTGTGGTTGAGCGACAGCGTCTCGTAACAAAAAGAGCACCAAAGCAAACGTGATCTCGGCTGTAAAAAGGTGATGTGGCGATTTCATCGTATTAACGAGTCAAGAGGTGAAGAAACACTATGGGTGAACACCCACCATGTTTTATACAAAGATCTCGCGTGTAGGAGTAAAAAGGAAAAGGGGTCTCCTTTCAGCGCTCTTTTTCTCTTTTTGTTGCAGCAACAACAACAGTGTTCCCGATTCTCCTCTTGCAAATAAACATGTAACCACTCTTCTTTATTCTCATATCCAAAACTTTCTTACAAAACATCACCCCCTTTTCTGCAAATGTAACTGCAGGATATGTAATCTGCATCTTTGTCTACCACATACACATGTCGCCATGCATATTACCCGCCTATCATAATAGTTTGGAGATCTAGTCAACCATACCACGTTGTAAGCTCAAGCTGGCAACATGGCGTTTGGGGTGAGTTTGGGGCAAGAAGGAGAATAAAATGGACCAACGGGAGTAACAAAGTGGTGGCGAGGGATAACAAGAGGGAGTAATAAACGACACGGGATGTAGATGTGTATGATGTATGTGTGGTGGTGGTGCGGTGCCTTGCTGGCTGTATCCAACAAACACCCCCTACAACAACGTCCGTATATACTCGGCTGAAATGAGAAGCCCGCTTCTTCTATACCCATTATGTCTTTTTTATCCATAAAAGATAAAGCTTTATCTCATTAAATTGGAACACTTTGTTCATGTCAAAAGCCAAAAGATCGTGTTTAATGTTGCAAGTGAAAGGAAGTATATTGTATGTGGTATTGATGTGATGTATATATGAAATGATTGCTGCTAATGTTGTTTCTGTGCAGAAAAAGGAATGTTTGATGTATACAAAGAAACATTGGGGGATGATCGGTATATAGGATGGTTGGTGTATTGCGTTGTTGGGTAACGAAAAAAGAAAAAATCTTAGGTGCTGCGCTGATCGAATGGGATGGGTTCAGTCAATTCAACAAAATTCGTGTCGCTTGTGGATCCACCAATGCCAGACTCTGCTCCAATGCGGGTAATAGCAGCTCTTACACTGCCGTTGCGTGTGATCGCCTTTGCAGCTGCTTCAGATGACTTTCGACGTCGTAAATGTGTCTCGTTGAACATGTTTTGTCTCTTGAGAGCACGTTCAAAGAATAAATCGGGGTTCGTGCAAGTACCCAAAGCACGACGCATTTGTGTATTGATCATGTTCAAGCCAATTTGGTATGCTGCATTCATCCATCCAAACCCTTCTCGAGGTACAAACTTGAAATCGGTTCCAACGTTGCCGTATTCCACTTGCACCTTGTGCGTAAGACTGACAACGTCTATTCATGGATACGCATGGGATAAGAAATCAGCGAGAAAACACTTCTTTGGCACTTACCATATTTTTCTGGAACAACGCCGTTAAAGTCAACGAATGATTTGGTGATACTAAATATGCAGCTTAGACTTTGCATGATCACCCATACTCTTGTTTATCATAGTACTTACGTATAGAGCCATCGATAAGCTAAACGAGCAGCAACATCATGCATGCCGTAGTTGTCAAATGCCTTCCAAGCCATGATTTGGTGAGGTGCCCAACCAAAGGGAAAGTCCCATTGTCGATTAGGTCGATCCAAAGAAATAGCTCCACGTGATTCTTCTGTTCCTGAAACCAAACCACCGATAGCTTCAAATTTATGCAATGATTGACTCGTCATCTTTTTAGCTTGGTCATGGCTTGCACATCCAGCCCACATGGTCCAGAATGCTGTAACGGATTCATAGGTTGTTTGTTCCTCCTTGACGGTGTCATAATCGTAGTACAAGCTATGCTCCTCATTCCACAAATACTTGTCGATCCGCTCTTTGCGTAAACGAGCACGTTCTTCCCATACATCAGCATCTTGAGGCACACCATCTGAATCCAAAAGATCGCCATCAAGGATGTTACGGATAGCATAAGCAATATCAACTTCGTACTTGTAGAGCAGCGAATTGAGATCTACTGTTGCCAAGTTGGCGCACACCTTTTCAAAGCGATAGGTGGTATCATGCCCAGACTCACGAACGGCCCTATCATGCAAAAAGTACTCATCCAATTCAGGCTCCTTGATAATGCCATCATTGTATTTTTGCATGTAATCTTCTTTGGTGATGCCGAGACGATTTGCATAAGGCTCAATCACATGGTCGAAATGAGAGGCTTCGGTTTCAGGTGGAATACCAAGGCCGTCTGGTCTGTATCTTGACAACCCGGTCTTTGGGTCTAAACGAGGAGACCCCATCCACACAGTGTGATATTCCTTCATTGCAGCTTGCAAAGTGTGCCGTAACCATGCCTTACGCTCATCATCATTGTTTTCTTGTGGTTGCCATTGCTCGTATACGCGAAGGGCCATGTCGGTGACAAAGGGTGGTTGAGAACGTGCCAAGTAATAAGAGCGATTGGCGTTAAGAATCTTGCCGTAATGGATGATTTGATATACAAAGTTGTCCACCATGTCACGTGCAAGCTCCCAACGATCATCAATGAGCAGACCCAATCCAATAAAATATGAATCCCAACCATACATCTCATTGAAGCGGCCACCAGGGACTACGAATGGTACACCCACCAATCCACCACCTCGTTCAGCTGGTGCACGTCTCATGGCCAATGTCAATATACCAGGTCGATCATTGATGCTCTTGACGTATTCGGGAGTGATTTTTTCAGGAAGCCTTTCCACCTCCAAATTCAAATGTTTGCGTGTCTCTGCTACTTGCTTGTAGTACTCATACACCTCATCCTCGTTGTATGGGATATAAATGCGTGGATTGTGATTGGCAGATCGATTTTTGGTATCAGCACAAATAAGCTCCAGACCATCAGCATCAATACGCCGAGTCAATCCTTGCCAAAAATTGTGTCGAATCATGCGAGAGAGCCGATCCACAGGATTCTCATTCAAACGTGCCTCATCAAGCACAATGTGCTTTCGTCCATAATCCTTCGCCAATGCCAACTCTTGTAAAAGGTTGGACAACATGTAGGTTCCACGAATATCAATCTTGCGATAACCACCAGAATCAGCTGTGCCCACTGAAAATGATTTTGGACCAAGGTCATTAACGGTAATTTGAAAGTCGCCATCGGTGTCTTCTTGCTCAACCAAGATGCGTTGTGTCTCTTGCACGTCAATCAAGAATTTCTGTGCTTTGCTCTTGTCATCTGGATGATTTTATAGTTGCACAGCAATCACCATTTTTAGTCATGTGGTCTTTTGTGGGTTCCATGACAATCCTTACCATGTGAAGCACGTCGTTTCCTTGGTGCAACGGGCGAATCATGCAATTTGGTTGCACGGCCCTAAGAGTTGATGTTGGCAAAACAATACAAGGATGGATATCGCTGGCATGTATGTATGTATAGGAAGGAGGGAGGGTGAATAGCTTACAGTGTATGACTTGAGACGTCCAATAACCCCGCCTGCATTGAGCCCTGTGGTGTAGTATGTGCTGGATGGTGCATGAGCGTCCACTTCTTGATCGGCTGTGATATGGATGGTTGATTGCATATGCAGTTGTTTGTTTTGGGAAAAGATGAGAGAGAGAGGAAGAGGAAGAGAGAGAGGAAGGGGAGCAAATACAAGAGAAAAAATGATGAGCTGAGATTTTATAGGGCACAAACACGACGGCAGTTGTTGCTGCATATTCACCTTTTTGTCAACTTTGCTGGTCTCACAGCTATTGGTTCAACGAACTCTTGTCTCCTCCCACCCCCAAAAAGCTATGTACTTTTTACTTCCCCCAACATCACCATCAATCATTCTTCATCCTTTTTTTTTATACAATCCCTAATTTAGTTTAGCAATCAATGTGGCTCGTTTTGTCTAGAACGCGGTGTTGATCTTGCATTATTATGCAGTAGTAGTAGTCCTATGTATCTCATCATCATCATCATCATCAACATCTCATCTTATAATAAACCACATGTCTCTTCGGGGTATGATGTGAGACATTGTTGTCCGCCAAACATCATCATCTTTTGTTTGTCGCAAAGGTGAAAAGGGCACAGGTTGCATACGCGCTTTCTTTGTTCCTCGGAACCGAGCCTCTCATGCCGCGGTAAGAACGATCCCCTCCTTATTACGTAGTCAACGATTGGTTACAATTAAAGGGTTGATGTTGTTGTGCCTGCCCTACCTGTAAATGATATCGGCAATGCCAGGAATGGTAAAACCATCATCTTTTATTATCAAAAATACCTGTTGCAAACCACTGCATTCCTTCCATCAGGGAAGTAACTTAATTGCTACATACGTATCCAGTTGAAACATCCCAGACACTCGCTCAAAACATAATAGGTAATCTCGTTATGTCATAACCTGTACCATTTGATATCCACATGCGCACATTCATCTTTATTGATCATCACGGGGAAGAAGAAGAAGAAGAGCTAGTCGTAGTAGTAGCACAATAGTTTAACTTGTCATCTATCATTATGCAGCAGCAGCAGCATAATAGCCTTCACCACAAATCATAGACAAGGAGACATATAGATAGCTTTGACCAATCGGTGTGACGCTTTAAGCCGATCATGCAGGAAAATATTGTGGGCACACGCACATATCGACTTCTTCTTTGGAACAATAATGTTTGGTGGAGACGACGAACGCAACATCGATATCTTTGGTGTCTTCAATGGTGGTGGAGCAGCCACTGCCGATGACCTCGATGATGCCATGGAAGAAGAGGAAACAGAAGTCGCCAATGAACAGCTTGTCGAGGACACAAAGAATCGCGCTCAACAAGTCACTCAATCAGATGCTCTTCCACCATCGGGGACTGTTGCATCCAACAAACGATCGTATGATACTGATGTTGTCATGGCTGAGTCATCCAAACGATATCGACCAGAAGAACAGCAGCCGATCGTGGCAGACACCTTTGAGGAACAGACGTCTCGTGAAGTTGCCAATATCGCTGGTTTACAAGGTGGTACTTCTACGCCGGCAGATAAACAGATAACACTACGCCATCAAGTAAGTGGGGTCGATGATGATAGTATGGGGATGGTGAAGGGTGATGTAAGCATATGCGTGTCATTGACCACAACCTTATTGAATGATTTAGGTTCGCCATCAGGTTGCTGTACCAGCCGACTATGATTATACACCTATTTCACAGCATGTCCGCTCCAAAGATCCCGCACGCACGTATCGATTCACCCTGGATCCTTTCCAAAGCACATCCATTTCATGCATTGAACGTAATGAATCGGTTCTTGTATCAGCACATACATCAGCAGGAAAGACTGTCATAGCCGAATACGCGATTGCCCAATGTCTCAAGAACAAACAACGTGTCATTTATACTTCTCCCATCAAGGTATGATACGTATGCATCTATCATTTAATGGGCAGCAATTTATTGATTGTCTTGATGTTACAGGCACTCTCCAATCAAAAATATCGAGAATTCACCGAAGTGTTTGGCGATGTTGGTCTATTGACAGGCGACGTCTCGATCAATCCTCAAGCATCATGTCTGGTGATGACAACCGAGATCTTACGGTCCATGTTGTATCGCGGCTCTGAGATTATGCGAGAAGTGGCATGGGTTATCTTTGATGAGATTCATTATATGCGTGATTCTGGTATGTGTAGGATGGTAAAAGCAGCGATCTTGTTCAATAGGCTGATCGAAATTATGAATAATAGAACGTGGTGTGGTGTGGGAGGAATCGATCATCTTGTTACCGAATGCTGTACGTTACGTCTTTTTATCCGCCACTATTCCCAATGCACGACAATTTGCCGAATGGATATGCAAGATTCATAATCAACCATGCCATGTTGTCTATACCGATTTTCGACCCACACCCTTACAGCATTATCTATTTCCAGCAGGCGGTGATGGCATCCATTTGGTGGTTGATGAAAAAGGTCGCTTCAAAGAAGACAACTTTCGGAGAGCTTTGGCAAGCATATCAGATAAGCAAAACGTCAAATCAAAAGGTCGACAATCCAACAAACAGGGTTCAGGGAATGGTGGCACAGATGGACCATCCGACATTTATCGTATCGTCAAAATGATCATCATGAAAGCATATCATCCAGTGATCGTATTCAGCTTTTCAAAACGTGAGTGTGAAGCCAATGCCATGCAAATGTCGAAGCTTGATCTCAATGATGGTAAGTTGTAAAAGAAGAACATCATCCACTCATTTACTCACGTTAAATATGTATAGCAAGCGAACGTGATATGGTGGACGAGGTCTTTGAGAATGCTCTTGCTTCTCTTTCTAAAGATGATCGAACCCTGCCACAAATCCAACAACTACACCCTTTACTTCGACGAGGTATCGGCGTTCATCATGGAGGTTTATTGCCCATTATGAAGGAAATCATCGAGGTGCTATTCCAAGAAGGCTTGGTCAAAGTCTTGTTTGCGACTGAAACGTTTTCGATCGGTCTCAACATGCCAGCAAAGACCGTAGTGTTCACTCAAGTCAGCAAATTTGATGGAAAGGAGAGTCGATGGGTAAGGAAAAGATGATAAAAATGCCATGCCTTTCGTTAATACGATGTTTATGAGATAGCTAAGTTCGGGTGAATACATCCAGATGTCGGGTCGAGCAGGTCGAAGAGGTCTTGATGAACGTGGTGTTGTGATTATGATGGTTGGTCAAGAGCTGGATCCCCACGTCGCCAAGGGAATGGTTATGGTTGAGTATTGATGGAAGAATATCAAACAAAGAGCTCTCGCTTATTCTCGATATTTTCATAGGGCGAATCAGATCCCATGAATTCGGCATTTCATCTTAGCTACAACATGGTTCTCAATTTGCTTCGGGTGGAAGGCATCAGTCCCGAGTATATGTTACAGAGATGCTTTTATACATTTCAGAGTGATATGAGTTTGCCGATACTTGAGCAAGGTAAATAATCCAAAGCGAAAAAGACGAGGTCTATGCTAAAAAGCATCATCATAGAACTTGCAAACGCTGAAGAACAAAAGAATGCGATCAAGTTGGACGATGAAGAGGATATCGCGAGCTACTATGAGCTTCGAAAGCAAATCGACATCCTGGCAGAAGGTGTACGAGAGATGATGAATGATCCAGTTTATTGTCTACAATTCATGCAACCGGGTCGGCTGGTACGGGTTAGACATCTCGATATGGAATTTGGTTGGGGCATTATTGTTGGCTACCGTCATAAGGAACGCAAGGGATCAGAGTCTACGGCTGAGGAATACCTATTGGATGTCCTTCTTTACTGTGACAAGAGCAGCTCATTATCAAAGGGTGCAGGGGGAAAAGCCGTGGGTATCAAGCCAGCCTTGTCAGAATACAATGGGACACCCTTAGTAAGTGTCATTTCAATATAACAATGACAACGACACTGATAATGGATTATGCTAGGTGGTACCGGTCTCACTATCATCATTGGATGGAATCAGTCATGTTTGTTTGGCGCTGCCAAATCGACTCAAGTCCCCCGAGAATCGTGAGACTGCACACAAGATGATCCTCGATGTTCAAAATCGATTCCACAATCGTATCCCTCTCGTTGATCCTATCCGCAACATGAACATCACTGATCCTCGTTTCAAAGATCTGATAGAAGTAAGTACTGTACATCCTTTTGGCTCCTATGTCAATATTCACAGGGTTGTATTAGAAAATATTTACACTGGAATCAAAACTCATGACCCATCAACTCAATCAAAATCCTGATCTCCCTTATCTCTACGACACATACGCAAGAAAAATCGGGTGGATTCAAAAATGCAAAGCTCTCAAACGCAAAGTGGGGGAAGCGCGTTCAATTGTTCAGCTAGAGGAGCTCAAGGCAAGGAAACGGGTACTGCGTAGGTAAGCAACAACTCGATGGATTGGATGGGAAAGTTGTTTAGCTAATGATGATGTTTACTAGGCTTGGATTTACTTCACAAGGCGATGTCGTTGATATAAAAGGCCGCGTCGCATGCGAGATCACCACAGGCGATGAATTGATGTTGACTGAAATGATTTTCCAAAACGTGTTCAACGACCTATCTGTGGATCAGTGCGTAGCGTTACTCAGTTGCTTTGTCTTTGATGAGAAGGTATGATGCTTTTTATCTTTGGGAGTTGCACTTTCGAATGCACTAATGGGATGTCTTGCATTGCAGACGGATAAAAAATCAAAGCTACAAGAGGAATTGGCGGAGCCATTACGACTGATCCAGAATACGGCACGTCAAATAGGAGACATAGCCTTGGAATGCAAGATGAATATTGATGTCGATGCCTATGTGGCCAAGTTCAACCCTGGATTGATGGATGTAGTATACGCTTGGTGTCGTGGTGCTACATTTGCCGAGCTATGCAAGTCGACCGAGGTTTATGAAGGCTCTCTTATTCGTGCATTTCGACGACTCGAGGAACTTTTAAAAGAAATGGTTGCCGCTTCGAGCAGCATTGGTAATACAGAGTTGGAAAGCAAATTTGCGGAAGGTAAAGGACAAAAAGTGACCTTGCTATTGTTACCATTGCTTCTCACATCATTTCCTTCATTTAGGCATCAAAAAGATCCATCGAGATATTATATTTGCAGCATCATTGTATATTTAATTTATGTGCATATTACAATCTCATACTACATACATTCATAAACGTATTCGTTTTCCTCCTCATTCTGATTCAAGTGGTTCGATTTGTTTAGCGAGCATTTCTTTGACGTGAATGACTTGATCGTAAAAGACTTCATCAGGTGCACCTTGCAACTGCAGCATTTTGTCAGCAAACTAACATAGTAGCATGATGAGTGATGACGTCTTTTTCGGCACATGCACACGTGTCATACCCAATAAAGCGTCCTACACCGAGCTTGGTCCTCTGCATCATCGTCCTCGGAAGACGAATTGTTATTGTTGTTGTCGATTGATTTGGAAGAGTTGCCATCGACTGCCATCATAGATTGTGGCTGGGAATCCTTATAAGGCTCCGCGCGTAGAGGTTGAGCCAGCTGAAAAAGATTCATGTTCATGTATGATCGCTTTTGACACGTTCCCAATTTGTCGTACCTTTTCTGTAATCTGCAAAGCACGCATGATGATTTGTGATGGGAATCCCAGCAGCTCCGCCGTCTTCAATCCTATACATGGCGCAATGTAGGTAAGCCGCCAGCCCATCCTCCTCACCGTTGTCCCTCCACACACACATACCATAATGCTGATCTTTGGCAACGGCACCATCTCGCACCGTATAAGAATATGAGAGTGTGCAATCATGGGATTCTGGATTGTTGATCTATAATAAAGGATCTAATTATTAAACTTGACACAATCGATAATAGTAACGAGGTTCTACTTGCCACGTCAACATGCAGCTGAAGGTTTACGATGTTCGGGTAGATATGCAGCACATGGGTGAGTTGATGGAAATGAGTCGCGAAAAAGCAATATGCCTGTGTTGTTCATGGTGCAGATAAGTTTAAATGTACGACGTCAGCCACCTGAGACATCCTGTACTGCATCTCAATGCACTCACCTTGCTGCTTGAAAGGCACTCGGTAATGGCTGCCGTGATTCCTAGTGCATCGTACGGCGCGGTTCCTTTTTAACCATGTGTATTAGATCACCAAATCAAGCTCACCACGTGAGTGCCAGGGGTACCAATTTGCTCTTACCTTTACCGAGTTCATCCAAAACAACCAAGCTTGTATCCGTAATATTTTGAATAATGTAAGCTGCTTCACGCATTTCAACAATGAACGACGACGTGTTTTGCTCAAGACAACCATCATTGCCAAGTAAGCGAGATAAAATCTATCAAAGCCGACAATGAATTTCTTTGTTTCAAGAGACAATGAACCCTCATAACATACCTGATCACAAAGCCGAAATGATGCATAAGATGCAGGAACAAAGGATCCCATGTGTGCTATAATCGTAAGCAATGCCACTTGTCGGATGTAGGTTGATTTGCCGCTCATGTTGGGGCCCGTGATGATTTGGAAACTCGACGACAGCGATGCAAAAGTATTATTGGGTACTACTGGCTCTTTTTGGATATGCTCCATGATTGGATGACGTCCAGCTTCGATGGCGAGTGTTGATGTAAACTCGGGTCGCACTATGTAAAAGGTGCATTGGATTGTAAGCAAAATCCTCGCATTCCCATTTGAGAGCACATACAACATACCATGTTGGGTGAGTGAGCAAGAATGAGCAAAGGATAGCAGCATGTCAAGCATCGCGATAGCTTCAGTGACCTTGTATAGAACTCCAATATCCGCATGAAATCGTTGTAATAGCTCCGTGACAGTGCTACAGTGATTGATTCATTGTTGGCTTTGGTATTTGTGAAGGAGGAGCAAGGTACTTACTTGTCGGACATGAGATAAATCTCTGCAAGTGATTCGTTCATACGACTATTTTTTTGTAGCTTGGATGTGACGATGAGCAAACTTGCTATTGGTATCACCTTATGTCTGTATACATTACCAGCTCGATTGTTGCAAAAGAATAGAGCTTCTTTTTCTTGATGACATTGATAAAGATAGATGGTAAATCACCTTCGCCACCTTTAAGCTGATCGACTGGCAGTGTCAAGAAGAATCCGCGGCTAGCGTTGAATTGCAGCTTGATGTTGAGATTGGTTGTTTCTATTGAGGATCCTATTTTAGTCGATGTTTCATTGTTATCTTCAATCCCAGCATGATGACTTACGGCAATACTCTGTGGCCATCTCATAAATGTCCTCCATGGTTTCTTTGTACGACTGCCGAGCTAAATATAACCATCAGCAATGAAAAAGTCTTTGTTGTGCCTTCACTTACCAACATCAAGAAGACCATTTACACCCGCCTATCACATGTACATACAAGTGCCAATCTTGAATAAGATTCTTGAAGCCTACCACTCATCCTCGTCACAAAGACAACGTACCTTGACAGCATAGCAACGCTGATGTCGTAAACCTAAGGCCGTCTTTTGCACACCCACGTCGTCGTGTAATACTTGGTTGATGTCTTGCACAAACTCATCTGGAGCTACAAGTATGAGCCATTTCATGGATAAAAATCAAGCACAACATTCACATTTACGTACCCAATTTCGGATCCGACAGCAACTGCATGAATGAATGGGTTGTACCATATGTCATTAGTGTGCAACGTAAGACAACCCCTTTTGTACCACACACAAAATTTACCTCTAGAATGGCACCCAATAAATCATTCAAATTGTATGCTTCCAGGCTATTCGCAACGGTTTTCACTGCGGCGAGAAGAATCTTGAGCCGGATGACATTGTTGATCTTTGATTCGGTGTAATGGAGATCCTGTGTCGTTGGAATGCGTACAATGTCGGCAATAATATGATCGAGATCTGCCACTGGCTTCAAGGCTGCTTGGATGTCAAATAATAGATTCTCTTGGGAAATGAGTTCTTGGACAGCATCCAATCTACGCCGAATCAACGCTTCATCCGTGCTTGGCTGTAAGATATTGGTGCGTAATAGTCGGCTACCCATTGGTGTCACCGTGTGATTGAGCACCCCAAACAACGTGTCTTTGCTGTTTCGCCGCATAATGTTTGATACAAGTTCCAAGTTACGTGCGGTGGCCACATCTATACATATATCCATGAGTTGCCACCATTCCCAATCATGAATGTTATTACGTACCAATCATCATTGTTCCTATTCGAATGCAATGGTATTGCGTTAATGGATCAACAAGAATAACTTGAATCAGCATAAGCTTACCTTCCACGCCTTGGTATGTAAACTTGACGGTGTGTCTTGCAAATCTCAATCCTTCATTTTCAGCAATGTACCTGCAACATTCATCAGTCCATGTAATGATCGACGGAGGCGAATAAATCACTTTACTTGAATGCGGCTGCTACGGCTGCAAGGCAATAGTACCTATGATGACGCGGTTAGCAACAAGTTCCTCAGCATTCAGTATTTGAACAAACCTACTTTGTGGATAATCCAAGCATCAAAGATGACGCATCTTCCTCGAGACCATATTCTTGCAAATCTTTCATGCCTATTGCACAATGATCCCTTTAGTACATGTGGTCAATCCACGCCATCATCCATCCTACTACTATATCCTTACCGACGTCATCACTGAAATACTTGCGTGGGATGACACTGGTGGAGATCTCTGGAAAGTTTTCATTGACCAGCTGATAGAGTTGTGTGGCTCCCGGTTCCAAAGCAGTGTTGGCAAACAATATCTTGTGTGGATCATTCAAGTGGATCTTGTGTAGTGTCCGAGAATATGACGGGGTATCAGGCACCTATTGAAGCAGCTGTTAAGGCAACGTTACACGCGACTTTGGGTTGCCATATTGCATACCTGCGAAAGAGTACATTCACCAGTAGTAACATGCACAATGCAAATGCCCACTTCAGGGGATACACCACGACCTTCAGCTAACACCATGAGACGCCGATCGCGAACACTTGCAACAGTCGCAGGAACCAATGGTCGGTTAATGGTAGCAGGACGCGATGCTGATGCCGGTTGAAAGCCATGCGATGAAGCAGTGACAACTGAATGCCTTCCTGAATATGAGAGAGACTGAGTTGGTGGTGATGGTTGTTGCAAAGCTGCTTTTGGAGTTGCTGATCCATGTGAGTGGAGGATACTTGATGTGGATGGTAAAGACTGCTCACGCGCGTTGATAGGTGTGGAAGCTGGTAACCTTTTCTGTGACAAAGACGGGGTCGTCGATGCGACACTACTACTTTCATGATCCATGATGAATGATCCTTCGGTGGAAGCAATTTTACGGCGTCGCAAGAGTAGAGCTTTGTTCCCATGATTGGTTGTTGTAATAGATGAGTTGCTTGAAGGTAATAAAGAAGAGCTTGCAGGGATAGACGATCCAGCAAATTTGTCGTTGTAGGTATACTTGAGAGTGTCAAGTGCTGAACTCTTTATTGAGAGGACGCTGGGAGGATGATCGACTCGTGTCATGTCGACGGCTTTGTTTTTCTTCACACGACCATTACTACGACTAGATGTATTTGGATTTGAGCTGGCCTCTGCTGCTGATGATGATGTTGATGACAGCAGGCGGTGTTTAGGATGCATTTTGGGGGGGAAGAGAAGCAGCAAAAAGTGTTACACAGCATCCAACTTTATTTCAAACAATGAGCATCATCCCACTCCATCGGATGCATTCCTTTTTTGTTGCATCCGCCTTCCCCGCGACTGGGAAGACAATAGCATCTTGACCAAAGGTTGTCGATAAAAAGTGCAAGGTGGAAGAAGTTAATCAACAAGAGATACATAGAACGGCATAAATGATTTCAGCATAGAAATAATGTGCCTTAACAATAAAGACTTTTTGCTTTACTACTACCCCTTATGCAATATCGCCACCATTGGTTCTTTGACAGCATGTTTTCATATGACAGCAAGAAGGGTGAATCATCGCTTATGGTTAAATCAATTGTGCTGCGTGGATCATGCACCTAGATGCTGTCGTGTGGTTATGGGTCACCCACACCAAAATAATGAACAATCGAGCATATGCTTTCTTGATGCTAATGCTTGTTGCCAGAGGATCTCGGCCCACCCCGAACCCTTACATACTTGTTTTCCTTGTACACTTTACCTTGTAAGAGGATGCACTAATATTTTGACATTCGGCTCAAGAACAGGCCACCCCAATATTTATACGTAGCTATAAAGGTATCGTCTCCACATATTGTGCAACCCTACTTTGATCAATATCGAACCATTGAAAGATGCATGAACCCAAGCATTGCCGGTGATTGTCATCTTTCCCATGCCTCTATCCTCCTTTCCTTGCTGTTGATCATTGCCAAGCCCTTGTTTAGTATGGCGTGCATTGCGGCTATTATACGTTGCTTGAATGATACAAAGATGCTTACAATGGGATGCCATGCCTATTGGACATCCTACGTCTTGGCAACATAGGATGTGTTGTATGCATAAGTGGGCAGATCAGGGCAAATTGCGTATGAGCCTGTATAAATCTCGGTCTGGGCCGTGTTTATCACGCTTTCACTACCCCTTTCTAGCCGGCTATAAAAGAACCAGCATCCATACATTGCTTTGACCGGTTTTTCTTCTTCTCATTTTCCATTGTTTTATCATTCTATCACCATCGACTATGGCTTCATTGCTTGATCTACCACCAGAGATACTTTGGCATATCATTTCATCCTTTAATCACAATGACTTGTCTATCGTGCGACTTTCATGTAAAAAGCTACGACATTTTTGTGATCATCCATCTCATTGGCGTACGCTATCACTAAAACCTTCACCAACAACAACGAGCAACAAGGGTGGAGAAAACAGCATGGATCTATGGCAGCTTCACGAATTGGAACGGTTGATTGGACCTCATGTCGCTCACATCCAAACAATCCAAATTTGGGGTGTACGTGATCACATTGTGCGGTATTTGTTGACACATTGCACACAATTATTGGATCTTACTGTGTGTGGGTGGACAACGCTCTCAAATCACGCCTTCAATCCCAAAAAGATGATGCGTTTACGTCGCTTGGAGCTTATTGGTGCTGTTCAACAACCAAATTATGCGGGCGTCGATGCTCGTGTACTCTGCCAGCTCTTACGCCAATGCCCTGATTTGCAATCATTAGCTTTGGGATGTCAGATCCATATTCATGCACGCACTTTACTCAAGGAACTAAAGAAAGCATCAACGTCATCATCATCACCCCCACCGGCACAAAAGCTTACATCATTAACCCTTGCCACAAGACGCACGTGGTCGCAAAGGCATGTTGCCGAGTTGATGGAAAGATGTCCTGCATTGGAACGAGTGTATCTATTACCAGCAGCAGCCAAGGGATTTGATTTGAAAAAGGATCATCAAGAGCAATGGTCTATGACCGAAAAGCGACAGGTAGCTGTGGAACCTTCATCGGATAGCGAGGACGACCATGATGCAGACCTGGCAATGGATATGGTTGTTTTACGATCCAGCCTTCAAACCTCCCCACGAGTAGCTTAGGAGTAGTAACAGCATTCATTGTTGTTGTTGTTGTGTTTGTATAGATTCATCATTGTTCCCCATTCTTGTATTGTAAGGCAGCTGGACCTGGCTCATTGTGCACCATCATTAATCAAAAGATAAAAAAAAGACTATACTCTTTCTATGGAGAGCCATTGTAAATCAAAGGACTTCAACCTTGTGGGGGAGGAAATTTACGTTTGTCCTGCACGCTGAAATCTGAACCCCCTTTCTCTCTCGCTCTTTATCCCGCTTATTACCTATTGTTGCACACGCACTTCCTCCCACCCACTCACCCACCTTTCATATCCCTTCACCACTCACTCCACCATGGGAATCGTATTCAGTAACTTGTGGAATCGTCTCTTTTCTAAAACCCCTGTCAAAATTATCATTGTCGGCTTGGACAATGCTGGCAAAACTACCATCTTGTATCGACTGTAAGTTGCCGATCCTCCCGATCTACCACTCCTCATCACTTGGACTCATCGCTGACATGGTCTTGGATAGACTTATGAACCAAGTCGTCACCACTACACCAACCATTGGCAGCAACGTTGAACAGGTTGAATACAAGAATATCAAGTTTCTCATGTGGGTAAGTTGAAGGATGGTTGCCGTGTCAGGGCGAGATCCTCTTTTGCATAATAACCTTCTCTCATTCAACTAGGATATCGCTGGTCAAGAGACATTACGGTCATCATGGAAGACGTATTATGTTGATACCAAGGCTGTTATTATGGTGATTGATAGTACGGATGCAGCAAGATTGAATATTGCAAAAGAGGAACTACATCACATGATGGAAAGCGACGTAAGTATCACGAAAAGGATCGATATAGATCGACAAGGGTGGGCTCTTTTATGACATGTGACATCTAATTCAATCCAATGTTCAGCAACTACAAAATGCAAGTTTGCTCGTGTTTGCCAACAAGCAAGATGTGAAATCATCCCTCTCGGCTGCCAAGATCTCGGAGGCTCTTAGCTTGTCAAGTTTAAAGGATCGACAATGGCATATCCAGGTACGTAGCATCATGATGATGGAATAGGACATGGGATTGATTATGTTTGCTTTATTGGGAGAATAGGCGTGCTCGGCATTATCCGGTGATGGGTAAGTGGCATTGGATGAGATTGCTATTGCGTAGGATACTCATCATCCTATTCATAGATTGCATGAAGGATTGGATTGGCTCGTGTTGCAAATTGCAGGATCATAACAGGATATACCCAACAACTAAACCACCCCGTTGTCTTCATTCTTGTAAATATATGTTCTCGCCCCGGTTTATTATGATAAAATGTGTGTACAACTATACACTTTCAGCTATTAGCGAAAGAAGTATTAGACAGTACAAGGGATGATAGCTACGTGGATGGGCACAAAATGAGTTATTACACGAAGAAAAAGGAATGATTTACTGAAGAATGTATCAAGTACAAGAAAGGAGGGTTGTTACATACAAAGGTATAGTCTAAATCTTTTATAGGGTGGTTGTATAGGTTCATTGACGCTGACGGTAGTACTCTTGGGTAGCTGAGCTTTGGTTTGCAATGAATTCCTTGATACTGGCTAAGGAGAGGAGACCAAGATGTCCGGAGATAGCTTCATCGAATGTCACATTTGCAGTGGCACCAGTGAACAATTCTTGCATCGTAGCATTATCCACAGTCGATGGCATGCTAAATTGGCTCATATCGGTGCTGACATCCATAAGGCTGCCCATGGCTTCTTGAGAATCGGAAAAGTTGAACTGGCTCAAGCGTGGCAACGTCAAATCCCATTCAACATCGGGGCGAATCATGTTGACAGTGTCATCGATCACGGGATCCAGGACCTTGGGTGTCACAAGATGTGCAGAGAGGCTATTGAGCAACTTCTCAAAGCGATCCTTGAATTCAGGCACACGAAGGAATTGCGATGTCAATGGGCGATCGTGGAGACCTGGGAAACGGTTGTAATCACCAGACACCATATCACTCATCTTTACAAGCGTGCTGCCGAATGTCATGTCGAGGTCTGAAGGGATGTAGAGGAAGCGTGTAGAATTGACACCCATTTGGTACACATAGTAGTTATCGGCCAAGGTCAAATAGCCATCAGAGTAGCCAACAAGGACTTCCAATGCCATACTATAAAATACACAGGATGAGCATGCTTGTATAAAAGTAGTAGTAATAAATGAATGTGATCTTACTTACCCTCGAAGCACACTTTCCATATCGAAATGCTTGTTCCATTCCTCAACAGCGTTCGAGGTATTGGTAGGCGCATGGGCAATAAAGCGAGTCAAGTTCATCAACGGGGCATAATCGGGTTCGCCTTCTGAAGGATCTTCCTTGATCTTGTATTGGCCTGCTGCATAGGCAGTGACATTGTCGCCAATGTAGCCTAGATCAGAGAATGTCTTGGGTGGTTCGCCCAAATGGCCTTGATAAAGATTGCCTCGAGAATAATTAGGATAGTCGTTATCACCATTGGCAAATTCATTCTTGGCCCATGGGTTCTTGAAATTCTCAATAATGCCAAAAAGACCAGCCGTTTCATTATTGATGAACACGCTATACACGATCATGTTGAATTAGAACCACAATTACCCATTTCGTGTCATTAGTACTACTTACCGAATATAAGAAAACTTGGATGTGGCAAGGCCAGCGGATTCAATGATACGGTATGCCATGCTTTCACGCACATAGGATGGATCACTAAAGAGCGATCGTAGCTTCAATCGACGGTATTCATACAACTTTTGTCCCTTGGGAATCTTGATATTGTAGCTGAGCTTGGGAGTTAAACGAGAGCTTCTTCCTGCAAGCTCCAACTCCACGTCGTCAAAGGTTTGGATTTCATCACCCCTATTGGATCGCTGCGGTTAATTACTGGGTTTTCATGCATGCATGTTTATCGTTAATCCCGACAACTCACCTGATGTAGGTCATGTTGCACACAACTTGAAAGTCGGCTGTAACATTCGTATGCATGTAATCGATGGCAGATTGATTGGCGGTGGTAAAGTGTACAGTGGCAATCTCGTTGTATCGATGAAGATCCGAATCAACACGATGAATGCTTTCAAGAGGTTCCAGATACTGTGGCAAGTCCTTCATTGGATGTGCGTTGACGGATCTATTATACACCTCATAGTAGACATCATCTCCAGGACGACCATCAAGACTTCGGGTAAATGGCTCCCGTTCTGTGACATGGTGGCCATCACTTGTCTTGGCAAAATAGTAACCTTGTGATGGCGTTGGGGCGTCACCGGTATAAAGCAATGATGTCAAATTCGATTGATGCAATGGATACACCTTGTCGTCAACCACCACTGCCATGGACACTGGCTGTGGAACAAGCGATAATACACCATACTTGGTTTGCTGTTGTTGATCTTGGGCCGAAGCAGCTTGGATAGCTGTTGTTGTCAATAAGAGTGTCAGGAGTCGAGTAGACCAGCCTATTATTATCCAGTTGGTATGAATAAAATGTCTTTGGGAAGAAGCTATCACAAATCTTACTGAGGAGAGGCATTTGGATATTGTGTGGGGAAAATAAACGATTGTAGGACGAAGGTTTCTACTATGTGAACAATGCGTCTTTTATATATGTTTGATAGTTTCGGTAGTAGAAAGATCATCAGCCTGCTACGCCGCATCATGCTCAGCAAAACCAGGGAATTCGGCAGAGAAATGAAAAGTGGACCTGCAAGCGGGGATCAAACCAATTGGATTTGCGTATGACATCAATCGAAACGATCGCATTGTTTCACTACACCGTTGCCCCTACTTTGCATTGGTCTCAGCAAAAACGAAAGGGGTTGATCGGAACGAAGGATGAGATACATAACCAACAACCTTCTTTTTGACCATAGCAATTAGCTATCCGATGTAGCATTCCCTGAAATTTCGATAGAACAATGGGTCCTGAGAGCTGTCCCGTATCCTTGGTTCTTGTTATTATTGATGATCGATGCATGCAAACCTTCTTGGCATGGGATCCTGTATCCTAGCCATGTCTTGGGATGGTACCTTTTTGCAGTTCTCGGTTAATCTTTATCTCCGCCCCGCGCGCAAGATCATCACCCTGCATGTGTGCATTTCTATTAGAGATCGCAAGCTGAATCATGATAAAGATGACACTGCATATGGATGTTGTAGTCAGATTTCAACTCAACGACGGGATGTGCCGACGCAACAGGTATCTCAGGAGCTATCGAAAATTAAAAACATTGCCATTCTTGTCGTTTATTTGCCGAGATGCCAACAGCAATTGGTGAAACATCATTTTTTTGGGAGAATGTTACTGTTTCGAAAATCGATAGCTGACACAACGTGAGGTCACATTTTTCTATAAACGTACATCAGCATGCTTTGGATCTTGGCAAGATGTAAACGTCTTCATTCTATATTCGTATTTGCGATAATAATAATAGATAGCGTGTTGTTGCTAGGCAATGAAACAATGGATGATAGGATATGGCAATTCAAAGGGATTCAAACATGATCAGATAACGCGATCAAGCAATTACAGCGTTATGGATGGCATTGGTTATGATGGCTGTAGTTGACATTTTTGGAGGATGGATGCAAGCAGGTGCATCCAAAGATATGGAAGCTGAGCAGCATGATCACTCATTGTTATTTTTGGGATGTGGACTCGATATATATATACCCACGTTACAAGTATTGCTTAATGTTGTTGCTGCATGCTGAGGATTAAGAGGAACTATATATGTATAGTAGTGGTATGAGGATATACCACATTCTTGGATATGATCTTGCGTGGCATTTAAATGAGGATTGTATGATCAAACAAGGTTCTTTATTGTATCTTGTATGATACCCTAGTCTTCTACTGGAAGGCAATCAAGAGATGAGGGGGATGACATGACATAAAAGATGATAGCCGTGGCTGTTGTACAAGCAAGAATGGGAAGCCGGCATAAGATTTGCTGTGTTCTCGTCGCCAACTTGAACTGAGCGCTTCTCTTCCGAGTTGGTCATGCAACAAGCCGATTCACGTTCTTCATCCAGCTCGTCAGCAGCAGCCACTCCCAATAACAACCATGTCGACTCTGCTCAAAACAACACCAGTGAAGCGTCAAAAGCTGCACGACTAGCACTTGAAGGAGAGATCAACGACATTCTACAAGTTCTTTTCGAGTTGAGCGTTGTGGTCTTTGATTTCCAACCTGAAGGCAACCAACTTGTACGGAACAAAATGTAATAAGTCAACGGCATTGAGGGAAAAGCAAACGACTCATATGAGATTGCAGCAACACCATCATTGAGCATTACAGGAAGATCGACGAGTTGAGGAAGGACATTGATACGCATATCCCAGAAGAAGTGATCAAGTAGGTTGTATACATGGTAGCATTGGAGAATGGATGTTTATTGGTATCATCAGCTTCGTTGAGCATGGCAAGAACCCTGATCTATTCACGCAAGGCTTTGTGGAACGCACAGCAAGCGAGAACCAATTCACATATGGCAAAGTGAAAGCTGTAAATGTAAGTAGCAGGGGATGTCCTAGTCAAATGGATATTGATAATATGGCACTTGGCTTGTAGGAATTCAGGAGTATTCTAGCCGACGAGTTTGAGAAATCCTTCCCTGATTTATATGATGCCAGCGACGACATGTAGAAAGATGTGGAGGGGACATTTGCTATATACAACAAAGAAAAGATTCATTATACCCGGAAAGCTCTGTGCGTTTTACTTGTGATATCATTGGATGCCGTATTTGTTATTAAGCATCGGGTGGTGCGGTGAACCGGAAGGTGGTGGTAGTGGGGTGTATATTCTTGTGACTCAGATTACCAGGCTGCGGTTTTATTCTTTCCCTTTCCTACATCATCATCATCATCATGTCCTCACGTTTACTCTTGTCAAGGACTGCAAAGTCTATTATTCATCCAAGATTGGTACGCTTTTTAAACACGACGATTGATTCATAAAGTACTCAACTCTTTTATTATGGGATAGTATAATCGTGGACTTGCTACAGCTACCAACCTATTACCAACTTTCCGAACCACCATCCTTCCCAACGGCTTCACTGTTGCCACTGAAGAGAACCCAGCATCGCAGACAGCTACAGTGGGTGTATGGATCGATGCAGGATCCCGTGCTGAACATGTCCAAAACAACGGATCAGCTCACTTTCTCGAACACATGGCATTCAAGGTACACAACACACACACACACACTTACCATGTGGGCCTCTATAATCCCCCTTGCGTTGCTAATCGACACTTTCCATAGGGCACCAATCGACGTACACAACGTGACCTTGAACTCCAAATTGAAAACATGGGTGGCCATTTGAATGCGTATACTTCACGTGAGCAAACGGTGTATTATGCCAAATCCTTCAAACATGATGTTCCACAAGCTGTCGACATCCTATCCGACATTTTACAAAACTCACGTCTTGATCCTGGTGCCATTGAACGTGAACGTGATGTCATTTTACGTGAGCAAGAAGAGGTGGAGAAGCAGATGGAAGAAGTTGTCTTTGATCACTTGCACGAAGCTGCTTTCAAGAACGAGTCGCTTGGCTTGACCATCTTGGGTCCAAAGGAAAACATCCAATCCTTGACACGCAACGACTTGTCAAGCTACATCAAGACCAACTACACCGGTGAACGTATGATTTTGGTGGGCACAGGCGGTGTGGATCATGATGCCCTGGTTCGTTTGGCTGAGAACCATTTCGGTGCATTGCCAACCATTGCAAGTGCTCAAACAAGCAAGAGTGCTATGAAGAAAGCTGTTTTCTCGGGTGGCGAATTTCGACTTGCCGATAATCAAGCACAACAAGCACATGTTGCATTGGCAGTAGAAGGTGCTAGCTGGACATCACCCGATTATTTCCCCTTGTTGGTAATGCAATCCATCATTGGCTCTTGGGATCGTACGCTTGGTGCTACCGGTCATCTCACTTCAAGTCTTTCATCGGTCATGCACAACCATCAACTCGCCAACTCGTTTATGGCATTCAACACATCGTACAAGGATACAGGTTTATGGGGCATCTACTATGTATCGGAAAACAAGGATCGTCTCGATGACCTTGTTCATTGCACACAACGCGAATGGATGCGTCTCGCCACAACAGTAACTGCCAACGAGGTTGAACGTGCAAAGCAGCAACTCAAGGCGGGTCTTTTACTTGGTCTCGATGGAAGCACCGCCATTGCTGAAGATATTGGTCGACAACTCTTGACTTCAGGTGAACGCATGTCCCCCAAGGAGGTCGAGAAATTGGTTGCCAAGATCACCGTCGACGATGTGCGTCGTGTTGCGCATGATTATCTCTATGGAAAGCAAGCCGCAGTCGTTGCCATTGGCCCTGTTGATAAACTCTCCCCTTACCAACCTATCTCCAACTAGATTGTATCATTAATCACCCCATTCAAAATATAAACACACACTCTCTCTCCAATGTATGATCCCGCTTATATCATCATGATCGACGTATGTAATTGCTGACAAAAGATAATCACTTTTGAAAGTGGCTTTTTCTTTATAACTGAAAAGGGGAAGGGGGGATACTGCTAAAGGGGAACTGGGGAAAGAATAAAGAGAGATGAGGGGGAAAGCACTGATGAATTACTAGGGAAATGGGGTTTGTTGGGGATAAGGGAAAGAGTATTGAAGAAAGAGAGAGTGTGTGTGTGAGGATTAAAGAGAAGGTAGGTACATTGCTAAATGAGCTTGAGATTGCACATGTGCCTGTTGTGCGTTTGGTTGAGAAATTCGCTTCTGCTTGAAGATGAAAACAGGTCTGAAACTATGATCCAAGTTGACCGAGACTGGATACGTCTTGAGCGAGAGATTGCCGTAAAAGTAAAACGAGTAAAAAAAGAAAGCGAAAAAGAAAGCAAAAGGGAAAAGATAAGGGTAGCAAAGGAGATCCTTAAACATATGACAGGATGTGATCCTCCAATGCACCGTGAAAGAAGAAAGAAATATGATACAAGAAGAAAAAGAAAAAAGAGAGGGAAAAGAGAGGGAAAAGAGAGGGAAAAGCATTTTGTGCATGGGTAGAATAAAAGAAAGGGCATTTTCTCACAAGGATGCTTCAACCAAATACCCGAAAAGAAAAGACAATGAAGAAGAAAATATACAAGAGAAGAAGGATGAAGGTGAGATTGTGAGGAAATGCTGGAGGAAACGGCACAAAATGATGGAAAAGGTGAATTGGGGCAATCAAGTGGAGATCTTTAGCATGGATCTCAAACCACGTTGGATTTCAGAGAGTCTTTGCTCGGTCGTATCAGGATGAGGATGATGTCCTGTCATCATGGTGGCTGGCATCATGGGTTGATGAGGTTGAGGATGGCGAGGCGTGAGCAAGCTCATCAATTGTTGGGATTGTTGTTGAAGTGAATAATCCTCAATGGCAAAGACACCGTCGTGATCATAAGTAGAATGAACGTAGGGTTGCTGCTGATAAGAGGTAGGCGATGACGGGTTGAAAGCAGGAATAGGTAATGCACTAGGAGCTGGGGCATTGCTAAAGCATGGTCCACAGTAGACTTTGGCAGCGGAAGAGGTAGTAGCGTTGTTGTTGTTGTTGTTGTTGGAGCGACGTTGTTGGTTTCTATGATACCATGAGTTAGTGAGTGAATGAGATAGCTGAATAGGATGCTAATGGTATACCAACCTCTTCAATGGGGGGAAAGCTGCTGGGCCAGGTTTAGACATGGTGGTCGACCGTTGCTTGTTCATCTTCTTCTTGTTGCTAACTTGGATAGCCTCAGAGTTATCTGAATCACTTGAACTGCAAGGGGGACTTGAACTCAAATCCAAACTCTGAATAGCATCAGTCATTGAAGCGATATCACGCTTTCGTTCCACACGACGAGCCTTGGATGACATGACATTGGGCTTGCGTTGCTGTTGATGCTTCGATACAGGCTTTTGGTTCTTGAGAGCATCCCATTCTTGTTTGGATTTCTTGTTTGAGCGAGGGGATGGGGAAGCAGTGGTAGGAGGAGCCTGGGTAGCAGTTGTCGTTGCCTTGGTCACGTGAGGTTTGCTAGGCTGTTGTTGTTGTTGTTGGTTACTCTTCTTTTGCCGAGCATACTGCTTTGGTGGATGTTGCCCCGAGTTTTTGGAAGCCTTTGGAATACTCTTTGCAGATGTCTGTTGTTGCTTTGACGATGGAGCATTCTTGGGCCGGGCGATGGTGGCTTTGTTGTTGGTCATCGTTGGGGGGATAATCAGCGGTAATAAGGTAAAAGGAGAAAATGGGACAATCAGGCGGTGTCAATGGGAAGTGAATAACTTTTTGAAGGGAAGAAAGGATGTGTGATGTGCGTGGTGTAGATAGGGCTCGTGAGTGAATATGAGTGTTTATGTTCTTCGTCACAGCGATATCAACATGGAAAAATTGTTATGGAAGAAAGAAAGCACCCGGCGGCAACCGAGTGGTTTTGTATCAACGCTGAGTTTGTTGTGTGATGATGTGATGTTCCACCTATGTTTTACCCTCTCTTTTTTACATCATCACTTCATGTTAGTATTTATCGACGACGAGAGCTTGATCAATAACTGACACTATATCATGTGAGCGTTATGGTTATGGTTACATTCACCATGCGTACACTTACAACTCTACAACATAGCTAAACCTTGTTTGTTTTCCTAATGATACCACACTAATAAGCTTAGCACCCACCACCACCACCACCCATGTTGCTCCCAATCATACTCAAACGCTCCCATGTTTCAATTCCTCCTTGTTCAAGTGTATGCGTATGGCAAGTTGGCTGATAGCTCTGTGACGAGAAAAAAGTGATGCAATAATGGGCTCGATGATGATATCGAAAATCACCTCATCATCTGCAAACACCAAAACCAGAAAGTGACACCACCACCACACACACGACCTTTTCATCAGGAAGGGTAAGAGGAGCTATTCTTGCTAGCCAACCATCATCTCATCTCGGTTGTCAAAGATAGAACAACGTATGAATAATGAATGTGATCTTTTGGACTTCCTCCTTAACGATGATCAATGCAGCTCATTATGGGTGGTAGTTCTCCTTTTTGAATATGCGCATAAACAAATGATGATGATAGTAGTAGAGAGGAAGGTGGTTGGGTGTGTGATGGATGTATATGGGACAAAGAATTAGATTTTATTCTGTGTAGCATGATAGCGGGATATGGCACCAGTGGGCAGTGGAAAGTAACATGCATTTACAGGATGACATGAGCCATTTTAAGGTAAGGATAGCACGGGTGTCTAATTTCTTAAGCAACTCTTCTCTCCTGCACATGGTCTAAAAGACTCTCTATTCTTTTGCAGAAACCCACACTCACACTCCTTTCTATGCTCTCTTTTCCCCTTACTTGACCTCTTTCCTTCTCATGTCAAGAACGCCTGACAGTGTAAACGAGGCTCATAAACCATTACGACTCGCTCGACAAACTTCACACGATGTATTGCGGCCACGGCAGCAAATGCGTCTGCCAGCACCCATGTCAGCTTCCAAATCGACTCGCATTACTCCTTCGCGATCACGCATGTCAGATAGCTCGTTTGACGACGACACCAGCTCACCCACCTCTGTACCACGATTTTCGATTTCCTCCAACAGCTCAGTACAAACAATACTAACAACGCCGCGATCCTCCATCACCACCACCACGAGTCCTAATAGTCCCAAAGAGAATGCAACTCATAGCAGCAGTAACAGCAACAACCAGTCGACTTGGATCGGTCAACGAGTTACAGTGGAGACAATGAATATTTCAGGGACATTACGATTCCTCGGCACCACACAATTCAAGGCAGGCGTATGGGCAGGCATCGAATTAGATGAGACAGGGACTGGCAAGAATGATGGATCAGTAGCTGGGTAATGTATTATCATACCCTTATACCCAATAATGCATAATCATCTGTGCTCCTTGTCCCTTTTTCGTATGGCATCTCCTCCACTCCAAAACCCCCTTGATTTTAATGTAGCACATCACTCATACCCGTGATTTCATTATGTGTCCATATAGGGTCCGCTATTTTGTATGTCCACCAAAGACCGGCATCTTTGTACTATCCTCAAAAGTACAACGTGTCATCAAAGGTGCAAGAGCTTCCCGTTATGTGGGTATGACAGCCGCTCATCTCAAACAGCAATCTCTCAAGAAGCAAGCCTCGTCGCCATGTTTGAATCAATCCACCCTTGTTGCTCCCCAAATGAAAAGACGTCAACTTTCATCGTCACCTTTGCATCCGCTTACTCCAGTGTCACCAAATGAATCATCATTGTCTTCAGTGCACCCACATCATCCTGTCGGACCAGCCAAAAAGGAAACCGATCCCGAGGAACAACATCAACAACATCATAGCAACGACGACGCCTTTGCAACAACAACAACAACAACAGCAACCACGCATGCTTCATGTGAAGCCGAGATTCATCAATTGCAGGATCAATTACGTACATCCGATAAGCGTATCAATGAACTTGAGGAATCCATTGACGAGCTTAAACGTGCTGGGATGGAAACGATTGAATTATATGAGCGAGCTGTGCAACGACACGAACAAGATATGAAACGCTACACAGCCAAATTGGCAGGTGCACATGCACGGATACAAACATTGGAGGCGGAACGAGATCGGCTTGTTAGTGCAAGGGATGCAATGATTGCAGATCATAAACGTGGACTTGCAGAAGTTCAGGAACGATTACAGCAAACATTACAACAAAAGACAAACGATGAGACAAAGTGGAAGGCTGATCTTGAACAACAATTGGCAACCACCAAAAGTGCACTTGAACAAGAACGTGTTACACAACAATGTGCTGAAAGGGAGTGTGACAGGTTACGAGAGAAGATCAAGGAGATGGAAGATGATAAGATCGGCTTGATGGAAGAACTCGAACGTGCACGTACAGCTGCCAAGGAAGAACAACAATTACGATTAGTCAAGCTACAACATCTCGAATCTGAAAATCGACAACTCAATCAAGCCTTGCAGGAAGCACTTCGACAACGAGGTTTAGTCAACAACAACAACAACAACAACAACAACAACAATTCCAATTTCATTGTCAACAGCAACAATACGATGCGTGTTAACAAAGAACTTCCACCAACACCCAATGACCCTTCACAAGAGGAGCTGCAGGCTCAGCTCACTGAAGCACGCAAGATCATTGATCGAATGTCTCGTGAACGTGCAGATGCAGATCGCCATCATCGTCGTGAGATCAATACACTCAACAGGGATATCACTGAGCTTGAAGGCTTGATCGAAGCAAAGATATTCAAGGAAGCCGATTTACTCGAAGCGCTTGATAATGAACGCAAAGCGGTGCGTCGATTACTTGCTGAACATCATCACCATCGTCATACCCAACAACAAGCTGCTCGAAAGGCCATCACCCCTCGTACCAAAGTGAATGCCCCTTTACGACCTCCACCTTCAGTACCACTTCCAACCATTGCTACTACCACCAACACGCATCCTGAAGGCGAGAAATTATACTGTGATGTTTGTCAAGTGGAAGGACATGATTTGATGGGGTGTCCCTCACTTTTGGAGCAATTGCCTTCCTCAATTCAGGTACGTATAGGAGATAAAAGGAATGTTCCTCATACCAACCAACACCCTTGTCTTTTTACTACATAGTCCTCCTGCCGGCAAGTCAGGGCCGATAATGAAGTCTTTTGATCGTCTTACTATTACGCATATTCCATCATCATCATCATCATTCTTCTCGCATCATTCTCATTCTTCTCATCATTATTCCCACCACTTATTACACCTTACACCACAACATTACATACTACATTGCCGTTTTTCCCTTTTTTATTTTGTAATAATGAGTATAAATCTTTCTACGAGCGATTTTGTACATGCCGTACTACTATCATTTACATATTCTATACAATGCTGATGATGTCAATGATATGCCCATGTGGGTATGTTGGGTGTCTCATAGGCCCATGATTGGTCCTTGGATGCATACCGCCATGCATGAAGCCATATTGAAAGTAAATTGGGTGGTGGATCAGATGTCATGACAAGGCCACAATCTCGGCACGCATTAATATGGGAAGGATCAAAGTCTGGGTAATGTGAATGAGCGGCGATCGTTTGTACCACGTTGGCTGCATATTCCTCGTCGAGGGGTTGACCTTCTTGTAAAAGATGGGACCATGGCTTATCAAGTCCATAAAGTGGATCATTGGCAATCGGGTATCCCAAATAGCGTAAATGGACTCGGATTTGATGGGTACGTCCTGTCACAGGCCTGCATCGCACCAAACTTGTTGTGCCATCATAGCTAATTCGCTCAAACTCGGTCTCCGAAGGCTTGCCATCATCTTGAACATAATGAAGAGAGAGTCTAAATGAGATCCGCTTGATGGGTGCTGTACATACAACTCGACTGATAATAAAGACGTCAAAACCAATACATGTCGCCGTATACGTAATAAGGACTTACTCTGGGAATTTGCCAACGACTCGACAAAGGTACTCTTTCTGAACACGCCCTTCCACTGTGTCAGCCCATAATCTACGTGCACCATCCACATTCAAGCCTATGAACATAAGACCTGAGGTAGGCAAGTCGAGTCGATTTGCAGCTAAGATACCATAATAATGAGTTGAAATCTCAATGTAATGATAGTGCATTTTACTCACGAAAGAGCCGAGACACATTCAATTGGCGTTGCAAGAGTTGGGTCACCGAATTATATCTGTAGCGGCCACCAGGATGAGCCTAAGATGAAAACAATGCGTCAATGAAGATGTGAATAAACAATAAATGATACATACGGGAATACCGCCTGGTTTGTCAATCACCACGAAATCATCTTGTTGGTCAATAATCTCAATAGGCTTGGCGGTAACAGCAGGCTCATGTCTGTGAATGTGATGGATGATCAAGTCATTGTGTTGGACAACGTATGTGGGCTCGACTTGGCTGCCATTGACCGTGATATGACCACATTGAATAGCATTGTGCTATCAAATGACTCATTCATTAGTCAAGTTGTCATGGTAGTAAAGCACTCATTCAACTTGCATAATACATCTTGTCTCGAAATTGAAATTCGGTGGCAAAGACATCCAACAAGGTTCGCTTGAGCCATCGTTCTTTGGCATGTACTTGATGTTGGAAAAAGTAAGGCTTCACTTTGCGTAACCCTACCCATTTCTTTTATCACTCGCTGTATTCCAATACAATCCATGCATAAAAATGGTTTACCGTTTTCAATGATGTACTGCGGAATGCCATGTCCTTGTCTGTGAAACCAAGCCAAAAAGTTAAATCCCCATGGCAACTGACAACACAGCAACGCTAAACGACTCTTTTCTTTACCTGCATTTCGAAATGGTGCGGAGTGTTTGGTTCACCGGACGTTGCATTGCTATATTTGAAGGTGGCGATGAGTTCCAATGAAGGAGATCAAGAGCATTGTCAACGTAATACCATGTACGCGATCGTGTCCAGTGTAAGAGTCGGGAAAGGAAAGGCTCGCTTTGGTGCACATGACCTCAACAAGACCATTCTAGCTGACCACAAAAAGATGTCCCACCACCCAAATGTCCCACCAACCCATGTAGTCTTTGATACACAAGTACTTGTGCTAAGTGTTAGAATAATGTATCACTGGTGTTCAATAATGATAATATATGATGTATTGATGGTGGCTGTACAAATAAGTAAACACAAACATGTGAAGAAGGATATATCAAATGGGATGATGGAAGATGTTGGATGGATTGATGATGAGAGGAGGGGAAGTGAAATTGAAATGTGATCATCTATAACGATCCTGGGGAGAGGGTCAATGAGGAGAATGGCTACTATTACTTGCAACAAATCCTTTGTTGTCTTCATCGTTATCACGATGTAATCCCATACGAAATGCGCTGAGAGGATCCATAGCATCCTGTGCCCTATGGCCTTTAGCTGATGGAGGAGGGTCAATGGGTTGGATATCAATCGTCTCCAATGATGTCGAATGCACTGCCGCATGTTCTAATGGGATCCTGGTCTTAATCATTACACCATCTACATGTCTTTGATGATAATTCAATTTACCTTTTTCATTCACAGTCAATGTATCCGGTGTCCTGAAAGGATTCATGTGATTTTCCTCGTCATCGTGAAAGCTCCTTATCTCATGCACCTGATCCATGCTGTGGCGATCTTCATATGACACCTTTTCGCTCATAAATGTATGAAGCAAACTCTTACGTCGGCTATCAATGCTGCTAGCACCATCATCCAAGTCGTTGCCGCTTCGTGAGTAATGGAGTAATGCAACACCCGAACAAATCACCAAGAAGCCAAATACGCAAGTGGTGATATCAACGCCTGATGCATCAAAGCCGCGATAGAGGACCGTAGCGCTTACAATGGTGAGTGTGGTAAAGAGCACGTAATAGGTGGGTGTAACGACAGCCGTATTGAAAATATTAAGTGCCTTGTTGAGATATACAATTTCAAGCACCAATGTCACCACTGTGAGAGCGAGGACAAGATAAATGAACCAATTGGTGAATTGATTTTCGATCGTGAATGAATGCACAATGGCTGAACCGAGACCTTGTGTAAAGACGACTGATAGGGAACCGATCCATGAACATACGCCAATGTAAACGAGCATGTTGGTTTTGCCCCATCTAGGTCCGCAGTAAAACACTAGTACCAGGGATACGACCACTGCAATGCCTGCATAAACAAGGAATCCTAACCATGTGGTGTGAGAGAAGGGGTTTTTAAGGTGTCTTGTCCCTTGCTTTCTTTTGATCTCTCGCTCTCTCGCTCACTCTCTCTCAAGGTTGTAAAACATCACCATCCTACTCACCCACTGATAGCATCAAACGCTTGAAATTCTCGATTGTTGTATCCGTTGTGCCTTCTTCAGGTGCATGTAACACAATAACCACTGCGCCCAAAATGCATTGTACACAGCCAACTTTGCCTTGAAAATTGAGACGTTCCCTGAGGAAAAAGGATGACAGTACTGCACTGTGCAATCAAGGGGGTGGGGTTGATAGGTGTTAAAAGTGAGTTGTTGAACCCCTCGATTATCCTCCCCTCCTCCCTGTTGTTGTTGTAACAAGATCCATACCTGATGACTACACTCAACGCACCTAAAGGAGTTACAAGAATAGCCGGTGCAAATGAATATGCCACGAAATTGCAAAGCTCGCCGACAATCACTTTTAAGAGAGAAACATAAAAGTTAGCGTGATTTATGATGGGGGAATCGATCATGCATTATTAGTCTTACTCAGAATCATGCCAGCCCACCACATGACATTTTTCAGATATCCATAGCCCTCTCCAGCGCTGCGTCCTATATAAATCACAACATGAACTACTTGTTTCTATCATTCATAAACGTGTTACGAACCTGTTCTTCCCATGGATTGTAATAACCCCTTTTTCTTGAATACAAAACTGCTGCCGATAAATAGACCTGTGACACGATATCATTTGAGTACGTCTGCTGCCAAATAGCGAGGCATGCATATGCGTATATGCTTACTGCTTCCAATGGCAAGCGAGAGACCAATGGCCTTGTATAGCGATCCGTGGGCATCGGATGTACCGGAAGCAAAGGGATCGGTTGTCGAATTGGTGGGTTCACTCATGGGATTGTATTTGACACGTGGACTAGAAACCGGAAACCGGATGATATGCCGAGTAATCGACGTATGATAGTAAAAAAGAAAAAAGAGAGAAAGGGGAAAGGGGAGAGAGTAAGAAGAAAGAAGAAGAAGAGAATAAGAGTTTCAACGACAAACTAGCTTTGAGTTGCATCAGTTCACTGCTCCCCTTGCCACATCCTCGTTATATTTTTAGCTTGGTCTTGTCGTCATGTGTGTCATGAAAGAGTACTATGCTATTAATGCCAGCAAGGCCTGTCCAATGGCACCGTGCGCGCGCCCCAGCCCATATTTAGTACTTCCACTTGAAAAGCAAAATCCGATCATCCGCCCTTTGACACCTTTTATCTTGAAGATGTTGTTCATAGACCTTGTTGTTTATTCATCCCTGGTTCCATCTTCGTATCTTTATAATCAACCATCAATAATAAACATAGCATCAGGTGAGATGAATATTCACATACATGCATGTGAAACTACAATGTACCATCCTTATTGCCGCTCTATTAATGGCTCATCTACAAACCCACTATCCTCCGCCAACTGGATCGCCGCTAAACTCTCCCATTGTACAAATTGCATCCACTACCATACGAGCCGCGCTTTTGCTTATGGAAATTTTTCACCCAATAGTCCTTTTTGAAAACGATCTAGGTCATTCTTATCATCCACACACACACACACATTGAGAGAGAATTAGGTTGTTGAGAAGCTTGAAACGAATACAATGATATTGTGAATAAGTAGATAGTGTAAGGGTTAATAGCACAAGGATGGATGGAGTGAGTGAGTGAGTGAATGGGAATAAAGGAGAAAGAGACAGGGTGATGGTACTAGAAGAATTCATAGCGTCTATCGCCTTGTGGTGGTGGATGTTGTTGTTGGTAATGAGCTGCTGCAGCCGATTGTGCCGCTGCATAGGATCCCAGATCCTCATCACGAGTCATGCGTCTATCCGAGAATGGATTTTCATCATCACTATCCGTAGGCGTGTTCTTTACTGGTGGCGTTGTGGGTGATTGCTGAGATAATGGAGCAACAGGACCAGGGTTGAGTTGCGGCACATAGGACATGTGTGGGTCGGGTACACCTGATTCATGATGTTGTGGCGTCGCCATGGCAACAGGCACTGTAGCACCACCCATACCACCAACCAATTCACCATGGCTATTGTAAACATGCGCAGCTGTTGCAGAAGGAGGTGGTGAAAGTGAATCGGAGGAACCACCAGCACCAGCAGCAGCTACCATCATGCCAGGTGGAGGAGTGGGAGTAGAAGAGGTACCCAACATTTGCGCCAAAAAGTTGTACTTGCTCAAGCGAGCTGATCGACCACGATTGCTGGTATCTTCTTGCATGGATGATGTATTGGCCACTGCTGCCGCTGCTGCTTCTGAATCGACCAAATCCCGGAAATGTTGTTGCTGTTGCATGCGTTCTTCTCGAAGTGCTGCTGCCTTCTTTCGACGTAAAAGCATCATCAATGCACAAATGAGAATGGCTGCGCCCACAACCGATCCAACCACAGCACCAGCAATTTGACCTCCCGATAATTGTGATCCATCTTGATGCTCTGGTGCATTCACACATACGCCATCACAATAGGTGGACTCGCATTGAAAATCTTCGTAGCACTGGTCTCCAATACCAAGTAACTTTGTACACTTGCTTGTGGCAGCGTTACAAAAGTAATCGGATGGACAACGACCATCAACAGTCATTGGATCACTTCCACATTCAAGCTGACCAAGGACGAGAGAAGGCGTAGCAGTAGATGAAGTAACTGTAAAGCTGCGTGTGGTGCTCGTTGTTTCTTCATCAGTGGATGTAGGCGTTTCTTGGGTGGTTGTTGGTTCATTAGTCGTTGTTGGATCCTGTTGCTCGGTGGTGGTGGTTGTATCCATTTGCTGAGCAGCTAAGGTTTGATCATGGGTTGTTGTCACTGGAGGTTGAGTTGTAGTTGGTGGAGGAGAAGGAGTGGCTGTTGTTGTTGGAGGTACAGTTGTTGTGATGGTGGTGCTATCCTGCTCCTCACTGGTTGTACTCGATTTTGCAGCATCCTCGGTAGAAGTTTCTTTCTCAGTAGTTGAAGTTGTCTCTTTGGTCGTGGTAGTTGTTTCCTCAGCATCCGATGTGGTTGTCGTTGATGTCTCTTGATCCGAAGTAGTGGTAGAGCTCTCTTCTTCAGTTGTAGTGGTCGTAGATGTTGGTTCTGGATCTGAAGTAGTGGTTGAACTCTCTTCCTCAGTAGTAGTGGTAGTCGTCGTAGATGTTGATTCTTGCTCAGTTGATGTAGCTATTATTACATTATCAATATGGGCTATCATGTAGAAAGATTTCATGTGATACATTACCACTACTTATTATGCTTGACCAATCTTCAGAGCTTGATGACTCGGTTGCTGATGAGAAGGTAGGTTCGGCGGTAGAGGATGTGTATGATGGATCAATGGCAGGTGTCGTAGTCGAAGATGGCTCATAGGTGATTGTGGAGCTCGATGACCACCAAGGTGGATAATGCGTAGGTCGATGAGGTGGATAATGTGTAGGTCGATGAGGTGGATAATCATCAGTACTAGTTGGCTCAACAGTAGGTCTACCATGAGAAGGATGATCGTGTGGTGGATGGCCATGAGGAGGGTGACCATTGGAGCCATTATCATCACCAGTTGGACTTGGATAATCGCCATCGTTGGTAGATGTTGGTTCTTCTCCATCATCGGTTGCTGTAGCTGTAGCTGTATCATCGGTAGGTGTTGATTCTTCGCCATCATCAGTTGGTGGAGCTGTTTGACTATCATCGGTAGGCGTAGCTGTTTCACCATTATCAGTAGGTGTCGCTGTTTCATTATCATCGGTTGGTGTAGCTGTAGCCGTATCATCGGTAGGTGACGATTCATCATCGCCATCATGACCATGTGTGGGTGTTGATTCTTCGCCATTATCGGTAGGTGTAGCAGTTTCACTATCATCGGTAGGCTCTGGAGTATGTTGATTGTTGCCATCATCGGTAGGATCACTGTTGTCGGTAGGAGATGGCGATTGACCATCGTCGGTAGGTGTTTCATGCCCATGGCTGTCATCGTCATCGGTAGGCTTTGGTGAATCGCTGTTATCATCAGTGGGCTTTGAAGAGCCGTTGCCATCATCAGTGGGCTTCGTCCAATCACTGCCATCATCCGTTGGCTTTGAAGAATCATTGCTGTCATCGGAGGGCTTTGAAGAGTCGCTGCCATCATCCGTTGGCTTTGAAGAGTCGCTACCATCATCCGTAGGCTTTGAAGAGCCATTGCCATCATCCGTAGGCTTTGAAGAGTCGTTGCCATCATCCGTAGGCTTTGAAGAGTCGTTGCCATCATCCGTAGGCTTTGAAGAGTCGTTGCCATCATCAGTGGGCTTTGATGGATCGCTGCTATCATCTGTTGGCTTCGTCCAATCGTTGCCATCATCCGTTGGCTTTGAAGAATCGCTGCCATCATCGGTGGGCTTTGAAGAGTCGTTGCTGTCATCGGAGGGCTTTGACCAATCGTTGCTATCATCAGTTGGCTTGTTGCTATCAGCCGATCCTGCACCATTGCTGTCGGAAGAATCGCCACCTAAACCATCGTTTGAATTGCTGTCATTCGAGGCACCAGAGTCACTACTTCCACTTGAAGAAGAAGAAGAAGAGCCATTGTCGCCTGATGCGTCGTCTGTTGGGCCGCTTGGACTGTCATTGGAAGAGGAATCGTTGCTGCCATGCTGAGAAGTTGTATCACCGGAAGAAGGATCGCTACTGCTGCTGCTGGTGCCGTGATCAGATTCCGACGACGCGCTTTGGTCAGGTGAATTGCTTTCATTGTCAGTGCCTGAAGATGAAGAAGGATCATCGAATGAAGATGATGATGAATCATTGGGTGAACCGGATCCTGAGTCAACACCATCTACAGGACTATCCTTTGATGCAACACCATCAGTGCTTGGCACATCATCGCCTAATGATTACACAAAGAGATATTTAGTATAGAGTAGAAACATTTACGGTGTTCATTTGTACCTGGACCACGCTTCATAAGCAAAGATGAACCATGCTGTTGAGCAGCTCTTCCTTGATCTGCAAACAATAAAATGCCATGTTTAGCTGGATGAATGTTTATTGACTTGAACTTCTAATTACCTGCCAACACAATATGCAGCATCAGCAAAAAGAAACACACCAAAGCAAGAAAATAGCGTGATGATGCGTGCATGCGTACTATACAATGAATGGATTGAGGAAAATGAAAAAGGGAGCGTGTATTAAGAGATAGAAAGTAACAGGATTATAAAACGAGTGAGCAAAAAGAAAAATGAGATAAACGAGTGGAGAGAGAAAGAGAAAAGAGGAGGAGGAGGAGGCACAAACAGAAAAGAGAGAATTGGCTTTGCCGAAAAAGCACACCCGAAGATCATAATTTTCAACGACAGATATTAAACCTGGGATGGCACAGCTGTGCCATCTTCTTTTCTGCCTTGTGCCAACGACGCACAATCAATACCACCATATCCCAAGTATTGGATGCACAGATCCGCACTAGCAGCCAATAATCACCTTCTTGTTTTTTTCCAGTATCCCATTTAGTTGGCTTGTTTTATTCCCCTTTCTTATGTATACAAGCGGTAAACTACAGGTGAACGTATATGGCTCATTCATCCCACGCTTCCCATTATTCACTTTCTGCGTCGAAGTGCGTTGTGCAAATACAAAAAGAATGAAATTGCGGGAAATAATGAATTCTTGTGCAACCGGATAGGATCACCGTGCCTGTAAAGTGCAGCTTTTGCAATTACTTGTGCGACCTATATAAAACATGCATCTCTCCCTCTTGCTTTGGATACGTTGTTGACAACTAGTAACCTCCTTTTCACTTATTCTTTCATCGTCTTTTGATATTACAATCGAGTTCCATTGTTTGTTGCCCTATTTTTAGAGTCACAAGCCGCACTAGATAGTGCCATGGCTGGTGACACGTGAGGAAAAGCTAAAATGAAAGGCTGCGTGGCTCATTGCCTAAAATGATTAACCCTGTGGATACTGGGCTGGGTACGCTCATACGCCAGGGTGCGAAAAGAAAAATGGAGATCTACAAGGTGTGCCAAGTGAAGCAAAGTCATAACCTGATAAAGGCGTAATCTCTCTGATGCATTAACCACGTGCAGTGGTTTGAGAGATAAACGATGATGCACGAGCCATGCCAATATTCATGATCGCCAACATCGTCTTTTGTAGAATTCATGAAACATGTGAGATTTTGTAGCACTGGCGTTCGTTCAGGAGCACAAAGTTGGTTCTTGCATTGCTGTTGAATGTTCCCTAATTATGTGTCTTCCCTCATCAAGTGTATACATTACTTAGAACGGCATACAACATCCTCCTTTTCATCCAAAACAATGACTCACAAGGATTTCTTCAATTGATTCTTGTGGTATTCGACCATCCATAGTTGGTACTTTCATCCATTCCTAGCACAAAGCATGAAGAAGAAAAAGGCCTGCATGATCGCTTGGGTATCCCGTACTATTATGTAGTACGTCTTTGGGACAAGACAACATCGATTTGTGGTTTGTAAAGACCGGTAATACCATTATCCCAACAATGGTTTTGGACCTCAATCTTCGAAAAGCACACGTGAGACCTATAGAAAGTGAAAGCAATAACAAGCAAACCATTAAAGCAATGTCCGCATATGCATCCAACAGCTGTTATCATCATTTCAAAGCGCTGGGCTTATTCCCTGCCATTGGATTGAGAAGAGGAAAGAGCCACATGATGCCATGGCAAGCTTTTGATTGGATGAGGTGGGTGATCGTCCACCCCAGATGAGCGGAAATTGTGGGCTGATGTAAAAAAACGTTGCTCACGCGATGTATGTTACGCAACGGGATGACACGCTCGGCTCAATGAGATGCAGGGATCGGCACCCCGAAATCAAAAAAATGCAGGTACACTTGAAAGTCTATCATATCCACTTTTTTTGTCATCACTCCTACTCACGCATCTCACATGCACACATAATGAACACGACTTGAGCAGCTTCATATTCACGTCGTTGCGTATACGATGTTTGGTTGCTATCATTATGCATGATTTTGCTATTGAGCAACGGCGCCATGATGGATGCTGTCATCAACGTAGATAACGCTATCACACCTTGTTGATGTTATCTCGCCTACTACTACTTGTTTCAAGTATACGTTTGGCACTATCCCGTGGGAGAAAAGAAAAGCGTCACAATATCGATGCTTTATGCTGTGGGCAATATCAAACATCAGCATCCCAATATCAGGTGTGCATTACAATTTTCTCATTCATCGTGTAAACAAGTTTTTTTTTACTAATCCCAAGATGCAACTTTAAACGGCACGGTCGCTGATGCGGGTAACATCGGACGGGAATATGGCAAATACTTCTTTTTCGGGACCAACGATGTGCATCATGTACGTGTGTAAAAACTTCTCATCGCCACGCTTTATAATACATCTTGATCAGATTAGGGCTATATACATCATATACAATAGTATACTACTTCTTTTGTTCGGTGATAGCATCCGCTACAGCCTGCTCCTCATCAATGTCCTCGGGATCTCCCACGTCTTTGTTGCCCACAATAACGCCATGATCGTGATCAACATATTGCTTCGCTTGTTCCAAGGCCTCGTCGCCTTGAATGTCATCCAAATTTCCTTGTTCGGCCTTCATAATGGCGCTTCGTCTTTCGTTGTAATACATGTAGACAAGGCATGCTGCAACAAGAACCCAATAGAGGCAGTAGCTGATGATTGTACCAATCGTGGCAGTGTTGTTCCAGCCGAGGATGGCGTTGAAAATTTGCCTAAATATGGGGAAACGGACTTAATCAGACGATCCAATACAAGCCTTGTGCAACATCTTTTTTGTTTTACCAGCCGCCGTTTGTATCAGTATTCAACTCTGGGTTGCCCCAAGACACATGCCATACAGCTGTGGTGACCTTGTATGGGATTACATCGCCTCCTTCTTCAGCTGCTTCACCACCAATGATTTGATTCCAGGCGTATTGCTCAAAGAATCCAACAGCTTTTGACATAAGACCTGCAGCAACCAGGTATAAAATGATCGTCGAGAAGATGAAAAACCATCGTAGGTGCAACATGCTTCCACCACGGTATATGATGACACCCACTAATACACCACAAAGTATACCCATTATGGCTGCAATAGGAATTGATTTGGCTTGTACATTTAATGATACCTGTAAATGGATTATGATCCATTGTTGTTAGTAATGAGACAATGAGACAAAGATGCCCATATCACTTACACCGCCAATAAAAACAACAGCTTCGAGACCTTCACGTAGCACCGTAAAGAAGGGAAGCAAGAAGAATGAATATCGTTGCATACGCACTTTCCATACCGATCGCTTCTTGCCATTAGCAGAGACACCACCACCTGCTTCCATGGCTTTGGCCAATTTGATTTTCCATTTTTCTTGCATGCGTTCTGTTTTCAGCATAGCGAGACCCATCATGGTGATCATGATTGTTGCTATGAGTGAAAAGACGCCCTCCCAAATAGCTTCAGAGTTGCCCCAAATGTCGCTGAGGACTGTGTACCATACAGCAATGAAGGCTGCACCAATGCAAAGACAAACCAACAAAGCTACAGCGCCGCCGATCCACACCTGGTTTCTCAGGCGTTTGTAAACAGGTGATCCCTTTTCAAACACCTTGACGAGAAACGACAGCAGCACCGATACAATGATGGCCGCCTCAGTGGTCTCGCGAAAAATGATAAAGAAAATGGGAACGTTAAACAGGTCCTGCGATGCCATTGTCAACAAAGAACGACGACAAGGGAAAAGGGGAGATGTGAAAGAAAGAGCCAGTCAAAGAAACCGGGTAAATCCCTTGCATCATGTCCCCCTTTTTTGGATCCTATTATCTTTTTTGCTGACGACTGGATCATCCTACGACGAAATACGTGTGCAGGTGTGTAACTATTTTCATCCCGTTACATAGCTATGGAGCTTATCAGATCAACGCATTTTGGATCTCAGGTGTCACAGCTAACTTGGATCTCTGGATCAAAAGTTTTTTCCATGGGGGGAGAGCGAAGGATTGGTGGGAACCACTAGTAGTCAATCAGCCTTTTTTCTTCTAACTTTGATAGCTAGCTGCATCATCTCTTTCTTCCTTGCTTCCTTTTCTTCTTTGTACACATGCAACATCTTTTATTACTTGTGCTGATATCAATACAAGCATGCATGAGCACTATAGCTTATGCAGCACGTGTCGAGCATTGGTGGAATATCACATACGCATACGCTAATCCAGATGGCCTTTTTGAACGACGTGTTATTGGTGTAAATGGTACCTGGCCGTAAGTCGTCATTGTTTAATTTTCATTACCCCTGGCAAATGACATACCGTATACTACATCAGGCCACCTGTACTCGAAGTAACCATCAATGACACGCTCGTTATTCATACACACAATGGCTTGGATCAGCCTACTGCTTTACACGCTCATGGCATGTTTCAAAATGGCACAGGATGGATGGATGGTGCCTCCATGGTTACGCAATGGTAGAAGGATTCTATGTCCCTCAAAGAGCGACGCAACTAAGCTAATGATTTGGCTCATCTTGCTAGTCCCATCCCTCCAGGCTATGATTTTACCTATGAATTCAATATTACACAGCATGGCAGTTATTGGTTGCATAGCCATTACATGGTAAGAGCTAACGAACAGCATGATCAAATTCACCGTTCTTATAACACCATGTAATTGCTGACTCATAGGGACAATACGTTGATGGTTTAAGGACGCCCCTTATCTTGCACAACTCACCCGAGGATTATCAGTATGATGAAGATGTCATTGTTACCTTGGCTGGTATGTGCGCTTGTGTGCATCTTATGCAAGAGAAAAAAAGCTTTCTTACTCATAAGGCTCATGCTATAGATTGGTATCATGAAGAATCTCATGTCAACCTTGCCTCTTTCTTGAACGTGAATAATCCCACTGGTGCCGAGCCGGTACCCCAATCTGGCTTGATCATGGATAACGTCAACTCGAGCCTCACCTTTCAGCCAGGCAAGACCTACCGCTTACGACTTATCAACATGTCAGGTTTCTCCATGTTTTATTTCAGCATCGATGGTCACATGCTCGATGTTATCGAGATGGATGGCGTAAGTACATATCTAAATGGCTTCTCAAATCACTGAATGACTTGATTTCGGTATAGGTGAGCACCACACGTACCACAGTGCAAAGCGTATACTTGACAGCAGCTCAACGTGTATCGGTATTGGTGACAGCCAAGAACACCACCGATACAAATTACTACATGCACGCGGATATGGATGCGGACATGTACGACGTGGTCCCTGAAGACTTGGATTATAGTAAGCAGCTACCATATCCGTTGCAGGGCAAAGTATGCTTATGTACGCATTCGTTGTTTAGATTTAACGGCACCAATCTACTATGACCAAAGCCATAGCAACTTTGCACCAAGCGGTGATTCAGGAGAGAAGAGCGACTTTGATGACCTTAAACTCTCACCACTTATTCCCAAGGCTGCTGCTGAGCCTGATCACCAGGTTAATCTCACGATTGATTTTCAAGTCACCACTGATGGTATCAATCGAGGCTTCTTCAATGATTTACCGTATCTTGCCCCGAAAGTGCCATCCATCAACACCTTGTTTTCGGAAGGCCAAGATGCATTATCGAGCACTGTATATGGACCCCAATCTCGAGCTATTGTATTAGACCATTTGGATATGGTTGAAGTTGTGCTTAATAATTTAGATGCCGGTGATCATCCATGTAAGTTGCAAGCTGAATCCAAACCACCGCATCCATCAGGCTTACAGAAAACGTGTATTACAAGTCCATCTTCATGGCCATGTATTTCAAATAGTCGCACGAGGTGATGGTGTTTTCGATGGCAACCGCAGCAGTGTTGAATGGCACCTTGACAACCCTGCACAACGTGATACAGTACAAGTGCCTGCCGAAAGCTATACTATCATTCGCTTTCGTGCTGACAATCCTGGTGTTTGGGTATGTCAAAAAACGCATTCATGATTGCTTATGGAACATTCATATTCATTTTCTTCGTGCACATGATGATAGTTCTTCCATTGCCATATCGAATGGCACTTGGAATCAGGTTTGGCTGTTGTATTTGTGGAAGCACCCAATGTCGCACAGCAACGGTTGACTCTCCCACAAGCTCTAAAAGACATGTGCACCGCAGGCGGTATACCAGCCACTGGCAATGCTGCTGGCAAGGAAGGTCTTGATCTTAAAGGCGCACCTAGCGGTGTCACTTTGATCTATGATGGTTTCACGGCCAAGGGCAAGGGTGCTATGGCAGCTTGTATAATAGCTGCATTGATTGGCATGATCACTATTGTGTGGTATGCCTTGGCCGATCCTACCAAACAAGCTCGTGTCATTCAGCAGGAAAAATCCAACGACTCCTAACAATCATTTTATCCTTTGACAATCGTCCATCATGTTTATAAATCTTTTAAAGTGTCCTTCCATTTAATAATTGATGAATGATGATGATACAAAGCATGCTACGATACACCATTTGAGAGTGGAACGTTGAATGATGATAAAGTTTTACCACATCGCAACCATCAAATACCACATTAACACCCATTACAATGAAGATGACCACAAAGACCAGCTCTAATCCATAGGGTTAAGAGGATACTATTATGCAGGCATTGTCCCGGTAAGTAACATCCTTCTTCTTTTTATGTGTGTGGTGGGTGTTTGAACAATGCTCATAAAGAGGAAAATGGCTGATGAGGATGGTGATCAAGGGATGGGGGAGCTACACCAAGTGCTATCAAGGTGAACCAAATTGGGTCAGTGTCAATATCCAATCAACAAACAACTTTTTATTTTTTTGATGCACGTCTCAATGCTCTAAAGGATGGTCGAGCACCCACAGAAGAAAACGATCCAGAGGTTGGGCGATGATCGGGAGGCAAAGTACCATTGGCAAAGCTAGCACGACGAGAGGGTCTAAACATATCACTAAGACCAGTGATACCCGATGACATACCAGGGTATACGCCTGAATCAAATCGCCACACCTTGATTTCGCCTTTGTCACTCGCTGTCACCAAGATATGGCCATCAGTGTAGTCGTACTTTGCTCTTTCTAGTAACTCCTCCTGGTTCTCATAGCTATCCTTTTCCACACGTGGCATGCAATGGGATACTCGAATATCGGGATTATCTTTGGATGAAGGCTTTGATGCATCGTGATGAACATACATGATTGGGGTATGGTTGTATATCATATCCGTGCCCGAAATGGCTAACTGTTGTCGTGCAGCCGTAGGTGCAAAGATGACTCGAGTCACTATTCCTCGTCCAGCAGTGAAATAGCGTTCATGATTGTAAAGCCGTTCCTGCCACTGTTGATCACCAGAATGCAGCCAATGTGATAGTCGACCATTGCTCAACTTGTTGCGCTCATCATCATGAAAATCACCATTGTTTTTGCCAAAGACGTTCTCAGCAAGGTTCACGTTTGAATTCGTCTTTAGGTTGCGTTCACGATCCGATGATGATGATGGTGAATACGTCCCCCAAATATGCACCGTGTGCTTGTCAGAACCACATGCTATATATTGTCCATCATCGCTATGATTAATTGTGTGAGTATGGATGCATGCATGATGTCGTATAGATCCATTGAACATGTACCTTGGAGCAGCCTTGATCTGGGATGATTCATTCTCGGCGCCAATGTATCGATGAAGCACATGTTTATCACCCACGTGGATCAACCGTACTTCTGAATCATTGCTTGTGACAAGAACTATTGGCTCAGTGGTCCTTGGCATGATCTCGATACCAGTGATCTTCCTTCCTCGCTTAGCATGCCGTCTCTTGAGCTCCATTTTTGATCGGTACTTGAGCTTCTCCGTATCATATAAAAACAACTGGCCATTGGTCGATCCTGCACATACGGTCTTGCCATCCGGTGTAAAGCCCACAGCAGTAATCACGCTCTTATCCGGTGATGATGCCCAGCTGACAACACATTTCTTAGGGATGTTCCAAATACGAACTTTGCCATCGGTGGATCCAGATACAAAATAGCGATCATCCTTCAAAGTTGAAGTCTCTTTTAAGTTTCTTCATTCCATATGAGCTTCCAAAAAATCACACTTACCATTGGATGAAAGGCTACACCTGTTACGAAATCCACATGTTGAAATAGGCATAAGCACTCGTTCACCGATACATGCCATAACCTACATTTCCAATGGTCACCCAAGGAATGATCCAAAAGATAGAAAAGGTATACTTACATGACCGTATTGTCAAGAGAGGCAGATAGAAGAAAATGATTCTAATAATAAACAACGATTGTAAGAGGATGATTGGTGTTTTATGCTTGGCTATAGCTTACCTTTGACCAGCGTAATGCAAGAATATCATCTGTGTGTCCCACGAATTCCTTCACTGGATCTTCATCAAATACATTGATAGACATGTGCTCTTCTCGAATATCCCTGTTGGTACGATGCGAGTGTTGGTGGCTATCGCCATCTTCATTTTCTTGTTGCTCCACCGCTTGTGCTCCATCACGTACTTTCCAAATCCTGATAACGTGGTCTTGACCCACAGCTGCCATGTACTTGCCATCGGGGCTGAAATTCATTGCCCATATTGCATTGCCGTGCTCATTGGATCGACCCGTATTCATTGTCAACGTCTGTGCATGGATCAATCGCTCCATATCTTTCACGTGCTTGTGTCGGGGTCGTAACTACATGTTGCATAAATTAGACAAAGAAAGGAAACTTGATTCATTGTTTTTGCTTATATACCTTGACATAATGTGCTCCATGGGGTGCAGGAGGTTGCCATGATAAATGACTCAGAATGCTATAATCGCTGCTATCACGCCATGACGAAGAGCTGCTATCCTTGGATGTGCGTCGTGATGACGAGGAGATACTTGTCCTACTTGGCTTGAGATGGTTCAAGAAATGCTTGAACTTGACTTTGCTATAATACAATATGAGTAACTTCATCCTCATAATAAAGCATTGACCATATACCATACCTTCCATTCTTATCATCATTCGACAAAGTATCATTCTTCGCACTAGCATGATCACTAGGAAGCGAGCTGTGATGACTTGGCTCCTTATAAATCAACACCGTGTTGCCATGTTGATTGTTGTTTGTAGGCGCCGTATCATCGCATAGGAAATAGTCGTCCAAAGGATTACTTGGTGCTGGGCTGACAGGTGAGCTACGACTGGGAGCACGAATTGATCCACTGTATACTGGCATGGTATCATCTAGAAGATAAATAGCCCCGAATGAGAAGACACCATTGTAGCTATGAATGACATTGTAGTTACCCATAAAGCGCTTATCGGTTGAAGACAAAATGGTATCAGACATTGCACGTTGCATTCTGTCATGGGACAATAGATCGGCGACATCGATCAATGGAGGGCTGGGGATCGAGTTGGTATCGCGCAGGTCCGAGAACTTGTTGCTATCACAGTTCATACGGGGGTAATCATCAAGAGAAAAGAATGGAAAGAAAAGGGTGGCGCATGGTGGTATTGAATGATCTGCATGAATGGGTTCGGTGAAGAAAAAAAGGTAAGCACCAGTCAAATCTAGATACTTTATTGTCGGCGCTCAGCACCACCCATGCTTAATAAATTACGTTACTATAACTGCGACTTGAGATGATGGATATTCATAGCACCAAGTAGTTCACGCATCAATTCCAATGTGGGCACGTTCACGCCATGTTCCTTCGCGCTTCGTACGGCTGTACCAACAATCACTTCCACCTCCATCGGTTGTTTACGTTCGCTATCCAGTTGCCTAGACAACAACATGTGAGTGATGTGTTGATGATACCATTGAAGATCAGGGTCAAACTTACATGGATGGCTTATAATTGGGTGCACTATTGGCAGTCAATTTGATGATATTGTCGTATATTTCTTCGCCATTGTACTCTTTTTTGGTGGCCGCCGTAGCAGCTGCTGCGTATTCGAGAATCAAACGTCGTACAATACCCAAGGCTGCTTCATTCTCCATGACTTGTGTTGTGTCGAGATGCAAGAGAGCACACACTGGATTAAATGCACCATTCCAGAAAAGCTTCTCCCATCGAGCTTCCTCAATATCATCCACAGGATCGACTTGAACACCTCCCTTTGTCAAACATTCCTTGAACAACGTGCAAGCAGCTTCCGAATCGACAGCACAGCCATGATAAGTGCCCACCCTGAGATATTCAAAAGCCTTCATTTCGACTTTGCCAGGTCCCACTTGATTAGCACCAATGTACGCGACAACCGATACAAGTGGATTCTTTGGAAAACGCTTCACAATGGGTGGCTCCACACCTATAAATGCATAAAAGTATAAGCATTTATAGCATAGCTTGTGACACCTGTCATCTTATTCCTCACTCTTACCGAATCCATTTTGAATAAGCACAATAGTTGTCTTGCCTTCTTCTACTGCAGGGGCTATGATCTCACCCGTGTCATAGACGTCAAGAAGCGCCTTCAAGGTCACAACGATAAAGTCAAACGGTCCAAACGCCTTGGCCTCCTCAACAGTACGCACCACTAGGACATTGTGATAAGTGGGGTTGCATTTGCCATTGTCATGCTCTTCTCTCGCTCCCTCCATTTACCATGATGCGGCTTGAAGACACCATTACCGAACTTGGGTGACACAATTTCGAAGCCATGGTCGAGTACGGCTTGATAGTTTGAGCGGCAAACAGTAGTGACCTCGCATGTTTGAGCAAGACGCCACGAATAAATGGATCCAACAGCTCCAGTGCCAACTACGTAATGTACATACTATTGAGCATGCATGCACATGTAAATAAAGAATACTATTTTACCTGTGAGAATACGAATGGGTGATGAATTAGCCATAAAAGAGATAACGGGAAAAAGAAGAAGAAGAAGGGTAATGGTGGTGGGTTTCTGGATGACAAATGGTTTTCACCACGCTCTCTTTTCTCTTTGGGCGTCCCATTCATCCTATCCTTTCTTCACATTTCCGAGGCAACGGCCGTAGTACAAGCGGCATGCAATTACCCACAAACAAACATAATCCAAACATGTTGTTGCTTTTAAAGCATAGTAGATTTACATATAATAAAACATAACTCTTTGATTCAACTAATTGGGAGCGACACGAGAAGTAAGGGGCTTGATGTATTTTTCGTGGTAAGGTGTCTTTCGCATGCTGTTGGGTGCCTGAAGGACGGTATCGAAATAAGCTTTAACCCCGAAGGATATGATTAGTTTGGAAAAGTGTGGGGTTGGCATAGCGCTCAATCACTTACCCTCATAGATCTTGCCATCATATTTGCCAATAGGTGACTTGAGAGCAAAGTCAGGGAAGTTGAATGCATCGGTGAGACCAATCACCTGCTTACGAAGGCTCTTGGTGGTCTATTGGAAAGAAAAATTAGACTTGTCATCATGATCACATCTTATACAATGACTACTTACATCAAGGTACAAATCTTCGATATCCTTGACTTGTTGTGGTGAAAGGAAGCCTTCCTTGAAACCTTGATCACTGTAGCGGTGGAGAGTGTAAATACCCCACATCACAGTCAATCGTCGCATGATAGCATGCACGCTAGGATTGACACCTTCAGCAGGCTTGGATCCACCGTACTTGGAGACTGCATCACTGAAAATGAAAGCGGCACAGTGCAATTCAGCAGCACGGACCATATCCATCAACAAATCATTGGATGTCTTGCCCTTGCCCATAGCTTGATGAATGCTGTAGAACTACACATTTAGGTTGTGTGTGAGTTGGGTGATCAAATTTGGATGCACGACATGACTTACTCTCTTGACAAGAATGGCGAAAAGGGCATCTTCAATTAGACGCACGTCCTTGACAGCTTCATTAAGATCACGCACAGGCCATGAAGGTGTTGCGAGATACTCCTTGGCACGCATAAAGTAATGAGTGGAGCTCTTAAACTTGAGTTCAGGATATTCATTGTGTTCGAGTTTGCGAGCAAGTTGACGGACATAGATACGTGCAGCCTGCTGCAACAAGACAACATTATCACCAGCACCCGTAGTCATGACACCCCAGTCATTGATGATTTGGCTGATACCATTGTAGGCGGAATAAGCATGACCACCACAGGCACGACGAGATGTTTCAAGGATTTCGGAACCATACCAACCAGCCATACCTTTGAGACAAGCTGAGATGGCATGCATGTCACTCATGTGGTTCAAAAAGTCCATAGGATCCATTTCACCACCTGCAGTAAGCACATTGTATTGGTTGTACACGGTATCGGAAGCCGAATTGAGCATATGCAGGAACGAGATCAATGGGATGATTTGCGAATAGTGCGATTGGTAATCCATGATTTGTTGATTTTGGTGTCCTTGACGACGCACCACACCATAACGTGTAGCAATGGTCAATGCTTGACCTGCCAATTGGGTAGTGCTCAAGATCAATGTAAGACGTTCAGGGATCAATGTTGCATACATCACAGCAGGGCTTGGTGGTGGAGAATAGGTGCCATCACGTTCAAGCTTGGCCCATTTTTGAAGCATGTGAGAGCGTGGCACACGCACCTTATGGAATTGGATCCAGCCATTGTCGACACCTTGATGTCCATGCTTCTTACCAATATCACCAATCTTGACATTGGGCATCAATTCACCCGTAAACTTGTCACGCAACTGTACCACAAACCAGTTGTGGCCCACGGATTCGCCATTAATCACTGTTTGCGAGATCACCACGGCATGTGTTGAAGTTTGGCCAGAGCCGCCGATCCACCACTTTGTCGATGTAATGGTAGGCGATTCAATCACAAATTCATCGGTAGCTTGATCATAGGTAGCGGTGGTTTCAATATCTCTCAATGCTGAACTATGACCGAGCTCAGTCTAAAACCATGAGTGAATACCATGCATTTGAAAACTTGGATCCAATATGAGTTATTACCATAGCAAAACAGCCATAAATGCGATAATGGTCAATGTCATCCACCCATTGCTTTGCTTGTTCCTTATCACCAAGCATGGTAACCACGTTACGGAAGAGGTATTGATGCACGAAAATGCGCATGGAATAACTTGGTGAGTAAAGGTTGACTGCCTTGGCGATTGCAAAACCCATCTCGGGATCATCCTTGAATTTGGTTTGCATAAGCTCAGTAGTGCGGCGAATTTGGCACATGGTGCTATGCAGATTATCACTCAGTAAGTCACAACTCTATTTCAAATGGGCATAGCTTGTCACTTACAATTCACGCCACTCGTCTCTAGAGAACTCAAGAATGTTGCGTGGAGGCTGGGCAATAAGCTCAGGATCAGATTTCACAATCTCAAACGCTTTTTTCTATTGTCTTCAATGTTAATGCATATAGTGATGATAAAGATTGCTGCTGGGTTGATCGTACCTGGAGCTCGTATTCTTTGTCACCACCCACGTAAAGACGTGTCAAGGCTTCAATGTCAAAATCTGCAGCAGCACGCTCGGCAGCCATATCCTTGGGTGCTTCAAGTGACATGGTTGAAGGTGTCATGTTGAGCTGGCTCTTGATTTGTTCAAGACGTTCCAGAGCGGCTTTGGCATCGGGTGCTGTCGAATCCTTGAGAGGGATGGTCATGGCAAAAAAGTGAAAAGAAGCGTTGAAGGGGAAGAGAGAAACGTGAAAGGGGAAGAAGAAAGGAAGATAAAAGGATTTGGTGGATGATGAGTTATTAAAAATGTGGGGTGCAGTATTGGTGTGCTCTCACGATGGTAAGCATGGGCATGCGTTGTATAGCATGATTATTGTATCCAGGCGACGTTGAATAATACACGCGCGCATACACACACGTATCCCATTTCCCCATCATTGTATTATTGGATCTTGTATTGTTTTCAGTAAGCGTTTTCCCATCACACATTGCAGAGGTTGCCGCTTGGGGTCGCTGACACTGGATGCATGTGAAAAACGGCATGCTTTGTGTCACATGGGATCAAGCATTTACTTTGTGGGGTTGTTCGGGGTCTTTGCATGATGCTGATTTTGAAAATAGGTACTCAATCTGATATGGCGTAATCGAAGTGCGTTGTATATTAATGCAAATAATACTCCTTTATCGGCATCTACTAAGGTCGGTAGGGTACTCTAGGGCCATTGATTCTAACTCTGGCTACGCGGTGTGGCAACACGTTGTCGTACATTGACCTGACCCATTCACAAAGTAATGGTCGAGTATCACGAGGATCAATAATATCAGGGATATCAAACATCTCGGCAGTGCGGATTGGTGAGCGTACAGCTTCAAATTGGGCCATCAAGCTATTGTATAACTCTTGTCGTTTTTCTCCTGCAGCATCCAATTCACGGCGATAGGCAGCCTAATTGGAAATACGTTGATGAACATTTTTGTTTAGATAAAAGCGTCGTGTGTCACAACTTACATAAATACCACCTTCAAGTGGTAAACTTCCCCAATCACCGCTCGGCCAAGACACACGCATGTTGGGCACACGATTGTCGACAAATGCAGCACCTGCAACACCAAACACCTTTCTCAAAACAACCGTGAAATAAGGCACATCGTATTGGTACAAAGCTGCAGTCAACGTTGAGCCATAACGAATGGTACTATATGCATATGTAATATATAGTATTAGTATGATAGCAAAAAGAAGATGATTAAAGTATATAAGACTTACGCTTCTTTTTCAGCCTTGGTACCAACAGCAAAGCCAGCATAGTCTGCAAAGTCAATGATGGGTATACCAAAGGTGTCGCATAGATCAATGTGGCGGCGGAACTTGTTGCAACTTGCAGCTGTAAGCACACTTCCATTCTTGGTACAATCAAATGTCAAAATGCCGACAGGATAGCCATCGATGCGAGCCAAACCACAAACAGCACCATCACCCCAACGTGCACCAATTTCGAACCAAGAACCCTTGTCAAAGACGCGGGTTAAGATATCACGGACTTGGTACATGCGTTGACGTCTTCGTGGGACAATATTAAGAAGCTCATCATCACGTCGGAATACAGGGTCATCGGATGTGGTGCGTGGAGGGAGTTCAAAGTTGTTGTTGGGCATGTAGCTAAGGAATTGGCGGATTTGTGCAAAGCATTCTTGTTCATCGGCAGCCAGGTTATCAAAGGTACCATTGGATGTATGCAAAAGGGCTCCACCAAGCGACTTTTTTGTGACAGTCTCATAAGTCGCATTAGCAACAACCGGAGGACCAGCTGCAAATAAAGAACCAACATTTTCGGCAACCACTGAGAAATGGGTCAACGTTGCACGGGCCGCTCCAAGACCGACAGCTGCATAAAATTCAAATGAACAATGAACAAATGTGGTTGATTCTTCCCTTGTTTCTCAAATAACACGTACCAGGTCCCAAAGCTGCAGCGACCACAGGAATCTCTGATAAGCTCGCAATGATATCATGCATTCCCAATAATGGAGGCAAGTAGGTGTATCCATTGTCCAACATCAAGGTCACTGATCCACCACCACTGCTGCCATCAATAAGACGCGCCTATCATTAAAATGATACATGTAAGAGCTATACCCACATTCCATTCTTCTGTATACTTACAAGAGGTATCTTAAGATTACGAGCACTTTGCTCAGCCATGATCTATATTATGATTGCATGAGATACCTAGATACACACAACTTTTCTAAACTAGACTTACCGATTTACCCCATACTGCACCATCAGCATGACCAGCGCGAATAGAAAAGTCATCGGCAGCTACGATCACAGGACGGCTATTCACTGTTGCTTTTCCAGCAATGAAGTTGGCGGGTGTAAATTCCTTGACGGATCCATCCTCGTTGTATTTGGCTCTGCCAGCGATAGCACCAATCTCGAGGAAACTCTCTTGATCAACAAATGCATCGACACGTTCCCGTACCCAAAGTTTGCCCTGGGTCTTTTGACGAATATAGCCATGATCTTCAGGATTCGCTGTGCGGTTCTTGTGTTTGCGTCGATTGATCTCAAGAAGGATATCCTATGACCCATATCGTTAGGATGTTGTACGACGCGCATTGACAAGGTACCCATCCTTACCTTCCACTCGGATTTTTCAAGTGCCTCATCCTTCTGACCAGGTTCCAGATGCTTTGATAAAGCATGAAGTCGATTGGCTGCCTTGCTTGAGGACATGGGAAAGATAGTGATGGATAATGATGAAAGAGATAAAAGGTAAAAATAGGTGCGAAAGAAAGAAAAAGAACCCCTTGTCGTCGTGTGAATGTCTTTTACTAATTGGCTTTGTCCCTCCACTCACAACTCAGAATACACACTCACCTTGTCTTCGCACACCCACCTAATCTTCCAAACGATCGCTGGCATCGAGCATCATAGCTTGCATCGGCTGTTGCTGTCGCACATGGAGCCTTGAGCCTTGCTCTTGATTCTTGACCTTCAATAGCACGACGTGTTCAACACATTGAGGACCGATTCTTGAAAGCACGGAGCAGTATACAAAGGAAATGGGATTGCAGCACGCGTAAATATCGCAACCTTTTGTGTATGACAATTTGAAAAGAAGTGCTCGTGTTGAAAGATGCTTCATATTCACCCACCCCGCAACTGACGTTTATATCCTCACACGCACTCATGCACGTAATTACACAGTCAACGCTTTGAGCAAGCTTCAGCATGTGATACAGTTTCATTGGCGTTCTGGAGATGATGAAAAGAATGATAGTACTGCTAGAGTCTTTGTACATAATAAGACGTACCTTTCAGATGATACTCCCTAACGTATTACCAATAAACTAGCGGCCGCAATTGAATACCTTCTTATCACTACTACCTTTGGAGTAATGCTGGGATTTATAAGCTTGCAAACACAATACGCGGTATCCACATTTATAGCCCTTTGGTATTCACATTCATAATAAGAAACTACCTACCATGTAGTGCCCAACTCTGAAACAATGCTCATTGGGTGGGATCGACGAGAACGCTTATATCTTTGACGAAAGGCATTTTACATGGATGATATTGGAGTACTCGATTCAATGCATGCAGCAGCTATTTTGCAATCATGGATGAAAACGCTTATGACAACAGCAAACAAGGATACAATGACATAACGATACCTATTGATAATATGTAATTCCCCCTGTTCCTTTATCATATTGGGTTGATAAACATCCACACTACCATGTCCTAGTCTTCGGCTTCCCATGAATGAAAGCCGGATTCAAGATAGTTAGATGAAATATAGCATTGTTTATTTATTACACGCTTGGACTTTGCTAGCTTGTGGATT